TTATCTGCAGAACTTTGTCAGCCGCTGCGATAGACTCCCTTGCCTCTATTTCTTCCTTCCCTGGCCCTCCCTCCCCAGGACTGAGGTTCCCACAAAAATGCCTCCAATCTCCCAGCGACCCAGGCAGGGAGCTGGGGGCACTTCAGTGGGTAGAGAGCTGCCTCTGTGTTGTCCGCATGTCTTGGTGCCTCTCTGAGCCTCAGTTTCCCCATCTGTAACATGGGGAAGAGAAATGCTGCCTCTTAAATGAGGTGCTGGGTGCACAGGTTCCTAATGATTGGTGTGACTCTGGAGTTCAAGTGCAGGGCAGAGGGATAGGACTTGATTGATGGGCAGTGGGAGGCACAGAAGATACTGGAGGCAGGGCAGTGTACCGGCTTGGGTTGAGCTTTGTGGGGATGGACAGGGGACTGGGACGAGGTTCAGTCAGCTCCTGCTCGTGGCCGCGCAGCAGGACAGGGCACAGTCAGGGTTCAGGCCAGACCAGATCGTCTGTCCGGAACTTCTGCCTTCAGGTAGCCAGCCTTGGGGTATAATCCTCATTTCAGAAACCTGGACTCCAAGTGGCTGCTGGCTCTCCAAGGAGTCCCGGCTGTCTGAGTAACCCTCCTCCTGCACCCCTTTTCCCTTTCCCCAGCACCCCTGGGCTGGGGGCCCTCTGTCCAGGCTGCAGTCCCTACCTAAGGCCCCAGCACCCCAGACCAGTGCTCACCAGCTGCCGTGGCTTCTCCCCTCCCAGTGTTGTTTGGGTTTTAATGTCTGTGTTGCAGCTAGAAAATTACCCATAATTACAACTCTGAGAGGAAACGTCTCCTGGCACAGACCCTGCTCCCAGCTGTGGCCCCCTCCAACGCAAGGCTGGGGAGGGCTGCGGGGGCCGCCAGCCAGGATCCTAGCCCCTTCCAAAGCCCCCCACTTTAATGAGAAGGGGCTGCTTTCATCTCCTGTGGAGAGGAAAAACCATTATCAGGAAAACCCAAATCAGCCTTCTCAGTGACTCTTGCAACATGTTCACCGCCCCACATCTGGGTCTGCAGGGAGGGCAGGTCCAGGGGGAGGCAGAGCTGCCAACAGGGTACTGGATGCCTTATTTTATCGTACGGTGACAAGTCCAATCCAGGCTAGTGTAGAACCGGTAACATGGGGGATGTGGCCAGGGAAGGTGAGGAGGAGGGGGAAGGGACAGAGAAAGAGGAACTGCTGGGGCCAAAGACCGAAGGAATACCCAGAACAGGCCAGGACTGAAGCCAGAGAGAGGTGGCACCCTCCGCCAGTGCAAAGGCCTGGGGGCAGGCCTTTGAAGGGTCTAGGAGTGGAAGGCCTGGAAGGCAGTGAGTGAGGGGAGGGATGGCCCCTGCTCTAGGCAGCCCCCCAGCCCCACAAGCAGGGCCTGCTTTGCTACCCACCCACCCCTCAGGGACCACGCTGGACCCCGTTGGGGTGGACTTTGGGAGTCTTGGTTGTCCCAAAAGACAGAAACCCAGCTCAGGGTGGCAGTCCCCACCAGCCACACTGGGAGAAGTCACAGGAGCCAGTGAAGGGGTCACACTCTAGGGTTCAGCCTTGACCCTTCACCTCCTGGCTTATGACCGCCCCTCCTAGGCCCCTGACCTGGTCCACGGCCCCTGTCTACCTGGGCCTCTTCCAGGGTCAACACCCCTGCTTCCTCCAAGTCTTCCCAATCTACCCAGCAGCCCCCAGGAGCTTCTTCAAATCCGGACACGGATTCCGTCTCTAGGGCTTCCACAGCTTCCTATGGCTCCCCAGAGCTTTTAAAACAAATCCCGACAACTGGTGGCTGCAGGGAGTGGTCAGGCCCCTCTGCCGACCCATGCGTCATTTCCCTCCTCTTGCCCCCGCTCCAGCTACACTGCCCTCCTCGCTCTACCTCCAGCACCTGAACGCTGGGCCCACCTCAGGGCCTTTGCACTTGCTGTGACTGCAGTCTGAACATTCTTTCAGATCTTTCGGATCCACCCCTTTCTTTATTTAAAAAAAAAAAGGCCTCTTGCCCTGGCCAGGCGGCCCCGTTGGTTGCAGCGTGGTCCCATAAATCAAAAGGTTGCAGGTTCCATCCCAGCCAGGGCATGTACCTAGCTTGTGGGTTCCATCACCTGCTGGGCGGGAACTGAGGGCAGCGATCGATCGAAGGCTCTCTCTCTCCCCACCCCACCTTCCTCTATCTAACATAAATGAACATATCCTCGGGAGAGGATAAAATAAATTATGTAAATATTTCTTTCCTCCCATGCCCCGCCCTCGCATGGTGGGTCCGGGACTCTTTCTGTGGGTTCTGCTCTTGCAGTGCGTGCGCCATGGTTGGATGTGCGTGGGGCCCAAAGCCCGCTGTTCTACGACTTTTTTGCCGGTGCCGGAGGCTGTGTTTGGAGATCCGTCCCCGTTGCCATGAGAACCGCGCTCTTCACTCCCACCCCCCTTCCCCTTCGCAGCGCCAGGGGCCGCGGGAGCCTCCGCCTCACTCTCTCCTCCGCCCTCCTCCCGGAGCCCAGCCAACTCTGCCGTCGCCCTGTCCCTTCCACCGGAGTCCCCTCCCTCTGCCCAGCATGTGGCACTCCGTGAAATTATCCTACCGACTCGCCACCTTTTCACCATCCTTCTTCCCCGTCAGACCCTCTGCTTCCCAAACAGTAACGACGTGTTCTGGTTTAGTCCTCAAAGCCGGGCACACAGCAGGCGCTCAATAAATGTTTGTGAAGAGGAAGACTCACATCTACTCAAGGCATAGAGGCTCAGAAAGGACGAGGGACCTGCCCAGGGTACACAGAATCCTGGGGAGCCACGGAGCCTTGGGAGATAAAAGGGGGGAGGGGCGTCCAGGGGGTCCCGGGAGTCCCAGCTGTCACATTACGCTGTGTGACCCGGATGAGCGACACCCTCTCTGTTCCTCATTTAGAGTAGGCCCTGGAGGTGGATGGTGGGAGCAGCGTGCATTAGAATGAGGGTGTCCTTGACGCCCACGATCTCCGGTGGCCTCCGGGCGCTGGAGAGTCCCGGTCTCCAAGCACGACAGAAGAATGTTGGCCGCGCCCCCATTAGCCTGTAGCGCGGGCCCCTCCTCCGCGCCCGCGGGGCCCGGGAGGCCCGCGGAAGAGGAAGCTGGGGGAGGGGATGGCCAGCTGGACAGGAAGTGGGTAGGGCTGGCGTCCCCCCACCCCCAGCCCCGGGCCGGGCCCCTCGGGATGGAGGCGCGGCCGAGGCCGGCTTGGCCCTTCCCTTCCTCTTCGCCTGTCTGGAACCCCAGCGGCTCCCCACTTCCCGCCCGTCTGCAGGCCTGAGCGGTGGTGGGGAGATCCCATACTTGGCGGCCTCAAAGAGGGAGGCATAATGAAGGGAGGGGTCTGCATGGGGGGGCGCATCCCCTTCGTGGCAAACACAAAACACAGGCAGCCTGAATGCACAACCACACAACACAGGTCCCAATCTATCCGCACGCAGAGGCACACGTGCACACCCAAGTGCACACAACCTGACGCTGCGTCACTCGGCCCCGCACAACTGCCGCGGACACACAAGGCTGCCGCAGAGCCAGGGACTGTTCACTGGGTGCCTGCCAACCCCCCAGGCGCAACGGCTCACACGTGCACTCACGCAGGAACAAGGAACACAGACACTGGCGGTTGTTACATGGGAAAAAAGAAATACCCATGGCAAGCAGTCACAGAAACATCCAGATCTGAAGTCACACAACTGCACCACCTTCCCCGTCCCCTCCCGCCTCCACCCTTCACACGTTTGCTAACATGACCCACACGTACCCTAGCACAGAAGCCTCCACGAGGCCCAGGCAGGGCCAGGCACCCCTGCGCTGCCCTTGTCTGTCGGCCTCCATCTCCTCTGCACTCCCCCTGGGGACAGAAGGGCCCCAGGAGGGGGAATGGGGCACCACGGTATGCACCTTTGATTCCCGCAGAAAGGCAGTTAAACGTGGGTCGAGCCCCATTTACAGCTAGCGACACCGAGGCTGAGAGGCATAGCCAGCCCGAGCGACCCAGTCAAACAGTCACCGAAGCACCCACTGTTGGCACAGGATGTGAGTGTGAAGCAGTGCATGGTGGCTCCTAGGGTTTGGCCTGGGTACCCCAGGAGCTTCTTTTCTATGTGGTGTGTCTTTGTGCTGTGTCATGTGTGTGGCTGTGGGTGTCCACAGGCTCAGTGAGACCCCAGGCCCCTGTGCGGAGCTCTGGGGAAGCTGCGATGGAGTGCCCCAGGGTGACTGTGAGCAGCGGCCATGGGCTCTTTTCCCCAGCTGTTAGAAGCTGTGGCATGGCTGTGTCAATGCGAATCTCTTTGCGACTGTGTGCCTCTGTGAGCAATGGTGGGCTGTGTCTTCCTCTCCTGTGACAGCCTCTACTGTGGCTGTGTACATACCTCTCTATGTGTCTCAGCGTGTTCCTAGGTGAGCTGGGTGTGGGGAGCTCTGGGGCATGATACATTGAGTGTGGCTGTTAGTAGCTGTATGGACTATCAGTAGTTATTCCAGGATCTGTGCGGACTTGTGTGTGTCCTGGGTTGAGATTGTATCTGTAACCGAGTGTGTGGCCGTGCTCCCGGCCGTGCAACTTGGGTGGCTGGTCCTGTCTGAGAGATGTGTGTTCAGCCTTGATCAGCCGTATCCTGCTGTGTGTCCCCGGGTGGCCGACCCCACTCATGCCCTGCGTGTATGTGGCCACTCCCCCTACCGTCCCGACACACAGGCGGGCCCTGCGCGTGCGTGCCCAGCCCACGGTTCCAGCGGCGGGACCCACCCGCGCGCCCGCCATCGCCCCTTTAAGAGCGGCGCGCGCGGCGGGAGGAGGGGGCGCGCGCTTCCCGGAACAGCCCGCGCAGTGGGAAGAGAGGAAGAAAATAAACCCGCGGCTGAAGCTGGAGCTGCTGCCGCCGGCGCCGCCGTGCGGAGCTCCCCCGCGCGGATGATGCCTGCGGTGCCCGCGCGGGGCTCGGGGCGGTGAGGCCCGGGGCGCGGGGTAGCTATGGCGACGACGAGCGCGGCCAGCCGCGCCGCCTGACAGGTGTGGGGACCCAGCGGCGGCGGCGGCTCGGAGCATTATGTACGCCAAAGCGGGCAAGGGCTCGGCCGTGCCCTCCGACAGTCAGGCCCGTGAGAAGTGAGTCGGGGGCCAGGGGCGGAGCTCGGCGGCCGCGCGGCTTCCGTGGGCCCCAACGCCGGCGCGCACCGCGAGGGGCACGTGGGCGCGGTGTGTCAGGCGTGCGGGGCCCGAGCGCACTTGAGGGGCCGCGAGAGTTGCCTGGGAACGCGAGACCCGAGGGGCGCGAGATTTGAGGGGGCGCGGGTGACCCGAGGGGCGTCAGGGGTTTCAGGCATCTCAAGATTTAAGGGGACGCGTGATACTCATGGGAGTGTGAGGGGCACAAGAAGTCATGAGGGGGCGCGTGAGGGTTGAAGGGGCGTGAAATTTCCGAGGGTGTGCGACACTCGAGGGACTTAAGAGACCCTAGGGGCTTGAGGAGCGTGGAGATTTGCGGGGAAGCGCGGGGCAGGACGCCGCGAGATTTGAGGGGGTGTGCGAGACTGGAGTGGGACTTGAGGGTCGCAAGACCTGCCCGACGGTCGAGCCTTCGGTGACTGAGGTTGCGGACGCGCGTGCGCGCGGGATCGCGATCCCGGCTGTTTCCCTAATTTTCCTGGGGAGTTTCCAGGGCAGGTGAGACTCGCCAGAGAGGACACCTGTTCGCTAGGCAGCTGGGTGGGACCCCTGGGGAGGCCGCAGGGCTCAGTGCTTCGGTGGGGCCCCTGGGTGGTGGAGCCCAGATGCGCCTCCTCTTGTTTTGGGCGTGGCGCTGGGCCGTGGGTACCAGGTGCTCTTGGGTTGCTGGTAAGAGGACAGTACCTAATTCCCAGATCCTGCGGTTGGGGGTCGCGGGCCCTGCAGAGCTGGGAGCTCCGTCTGGGGCAGGGAAGCAGCCTGAAGGTGGCTCTGCCACTTACCTGCTCTGTGACTTTGAGTGCTGCCCCTCTCCTAGGCTCGTTTTCCTTTCCTGAGAAATGTAAACGTAGTATCAGTGCCATCTCTCTTTTTCTCTTTTTAAAAGATTTTATTTATTTATTTTTAGAGAGAGAGGAAGGGAGGGGGAGAGAGAGGAAGAGAAACATTGATGTGAGAGAGAGAAATGGATCTGTTGCCTGTCATATGTGGTCCGTGCCAGGACTGAACCCACAGCCCAGGCATGTGCCCCGACAAGGAACCAAATCGGTGACCTTTAGCTTTGCGGGAGGACACCCAACCAACTGAGCCACACCGGTCAGGGCTCAGTGCCATCTGGGGAGGACTTGCAAGGTTCTGGGAGCTGTGACCTTCCCACAGCAAGGGTACCCAGCAGCTTGTGGTTTTGTTAAAGAGCCAGGGTAAGGTGCCTGTAGGAGGGAAGGCTTTCCATGGCTGATAGCCAGTGGCTGATTCGCAGGATCCTAAGAAGTCCAGCCACCTAGAGTGGCCTTGCTGGGAAACAGGCTGCCAGAACAGAGAAGCGGCCCGGTCATTCTTGAGAGGTCCTTGAGGGCCAGGCCAGGAGGGAGGACTTGTATGACTGGGCAGTAAAGAGGAACCTTGGATATGGGCTTGCTGCAGCCTTCTCTTGTCCTGCCTCATCTGCTTGGGCTAACAAATGGGACCCCCTCCCTTCCACAAGGACAAATGTCCATTCTCTACCCAGCGCTGGGACCATTTTGGAGAAGAGATTCTTCTGGCAGAAGATTTTAGGCAGATAACTGCCCTTTCAGGCCTTCCTTGCCCATCTACACAGTTATGAGGTTGGGCTCCATTTTCAAGCACCCTTAAGCACAAAGACTTTTTGAAACCGCCATCTGGCTCCTGCCCAGGTTGGAAGCAGGGCATGCCTGGCTTTGCCACCCCAGACCTGGGGGTCTTGGCATGTCCTCGGTCATTCTCTTACACTGCTTTGTGGGTCTGGGGTGGAGTGTAGTGGTTGGGAAGGATGTCCCAGGACTGAAGAATCCCACATCCTAGCAGGGAGGCAGGTGTCACATTACTTGGGCAAATAAATGGGAGGCCAAGCAGAGGATGATCTGAAGATATTCCATGAAGAAAGCAAAGTGGGAAAGCGGGTGGTAGTGAAGTCTGTGGGGGCTCTCAGGTGGGCAGAGACCTGGAGGAAGAGTAGGCCGCCGAGGGCACAGCAAGTACAAAGGCCCTGGGGCGAGGCCTGGCAAAGGAGCTGGGGCTGGTGCCCTGGGTGGGGGCAGGGCCGTCCATGCGGGCTCCATGAGGACAAGAGATGCTTGTGTGTATGAAAGTGGGAGAGGTGGGCACAATGACTTGGGTAAGAGTTGATGATGGCAGCTCAGGTGTGGGCATGGGGAAAAAAATAAGAGCGAGAATCAGAGATCTGAGCTGAGAGTAGTGGGGTTGGGAGTTTTGATCCCATCAAACATCCCAAGAGACGTATGATTCTTTGAACCTGGCCTTGGCTTTGGGCTAGGGCTGGAAAGGGGGTAATCCGAATCCTGACGCCTTCTCCCATCACCCCCTCACTCCCTAGCCTGCCCAGCAGTGGTCTCAGAGGACGGAGGAACATGCAGAAACACCTCCTCTGGAGGCTAGCAACGTACCTCACGTGGTGGCCTGTTCTCCAGTACCCTCTTTGGCCAGAACCATCCTGTGCTCATCCATTTCTTATAGAGGATCCTGGATGAGTGTCCGTTTGGAAATGGGGTTCTGCTACTAGAGAAAGTTTGGAAAACACCAGAGGGGATGTCAGGGCCTGGAGAGGAAGTGACCTGCCAAGCTCACAGGTTCTGGGCATGGACCTCTGAGAGCATGAGAGAGGCAGGCCGGCTGCTCTGTCTCCCCATCTGAAATGTGGCCTGCGGGCCCTGCAGGATGCTCGGAGGGATGGGCGGGAGGCGGCAGGCAGAACACCCTACGCAGGCAGCCACCAGCAGAGCCACTTCCTGCCCCTGGGCTTCGGTTTCCTCCCCTGTGAAATGGGGTGAAGGGGTTGCACTGCTCAGGCCCTTGGCCCTCCTGGACTCTGTTTTCCTTTCCTTCCTTCTCCTGAGCCCCTCTGGATCCCCATCTCCGTATGGGATCCGGGCCAGATTGCTTCAGAAACAGGGCGCCTGCTGGGTCCGCTGACTGCCGGTCCCTGCCCTCGGGGTGCACAGCCAAGCCTACGGAGGGGTGTCCAGCCTGCAGGCCAGGGTGGCTGTAAATGCAGCCCAACACAAAATTGTAAATTTATTTCAAGCATTATGAGATTTTTTTTGTCATTATGTGTCACACTGTATCTAACATGTGTCCTAAGACAACTCTTCCTCCAGCGTGGCCCAGAGGTGCCCAGGTGGAAGGACACCCCTGCAGGGGGTACAGTGATGAGGGGGCCCGGAGGGCGCCGGGGAGGCTGCAGTGCTGGTGGGCTGCCTGCACCAAGGCACAGCCTCTTCTGTAAACTGCAGACGCTCCGGGCCTGCAGGGAAGCCCATGAGTGACTGCTGCGCAGAACTAGCTAGCACTTGCATTTGCTAGTTGGTTTTGGGTCTTTTAAATTTTGAGATGAAGGAGACAGGGACGGCTGGAGGCCCCTTTATATCACTCCACTTCTGCCTCAGAGGCTCTGCCTTTTGCACGGCGGGGGTGTGGGGCAGAGGTCTAAACGTCCCGTGGGCGCACGTCTCCTCCAGCTCTTCGTGCGCTGTGAGGTGGGTTTAGAACAGGTCCGTAAGTGACAACCACGGTTGGTGTTACTGAGCAGCTCCTGTTTTTCTCCTGGGATTGGTTGTGAGATGGCACATAGCCATGGAGAGTTTGCTGCTTAGCCCAGCAGTTGAGAGAGTCACCTGTGTACGTGTCCCTGCTTCCAGGTGTGGCTGTGGGCATCCTGGTTGGTGAGGGCAGTGGTAACAGATTCTTGAGGAAGGAAACCCCGAGCTGGGTTCTGGAGGCCGGGCAGAGCCAGCGGACCCAACGCCACCTCCGGGAAAGGGCTTGAGAAGAGGTCTGGGGAGAAAATGGGAGGAGGGGGAAGGCAGGGATGGAAATTGTGAGTCGGGGTCGTCACTGGCCACTGGGTGGGAGAAAATCTGTAATCAACAGAGGCTGCCAGTGGGCTGGTGAGGAGGGGGCCACGCCTTGACAAGAGATGGCTGAGGCCTGGCCTTGGGGGTGGCAGAGAGGACGGAGGAAATGTGTGGGCTGGAGAGTCCCTTTGTGGGGCGCAGTGGGAACTGGCTGGTGGGTCGGGTGTGCTGGGGGCGTGACACAAGGCTGTGAGAAGGGGGCTTCTCCCTGCCCCCAGCAGCTTGATGATCCAGGGGTTTTTAGGGGGAGGAGGGCGCTGGGCAGGGAGCACCCATTACCATAACTCCTGGTAATTACAGTAATTCTTGATAATTATGGTGATAGTGCTGCATTCTAGTTCACGAGGCTCTAACAAACCTTCATCACCATTTCCCTGCACAGCCCATGTGCCCTTCTCCCCGTGAGCACTCCAGGGCGGGGCACACCATGTTCTCCATGTCACCGTTCCTTCTGGAGGGAGGGTCTCCCGGGAGCCACTCCACGCTCCCTGCCACCCACCTGCCTTGGTGCAGCAGGCGCCCCTCCAGTGGAGGGGGGAGGCTCCGTCCTGCAGGTCATTTATTTTGCCAGGCTTTGGCTCCAGAGCCCTGCTCTTCCCTGTAACCCACCTCAGGGCCTGGGTGGTCAGAGGCCTCAAGTCCTCCCTGGAGATGGCAAAACAACCTGCCAAATGTCCTGGCTTCAAAACTTTTCACCAAAAACAAGAAAAACAGCCCAGAATTCCCCTCTGAGACTTGATCCTGGTAAAAATTAAAGTACCAACACAACAGAAGTCAGCAAAACTGAGAATCTTCTCTAGCTTCTTTTTCCTCTTGGGATAAAACCCCAAACCCTTAACATCAAGACAGTAAGCGCTGACCATTACCAGAGCTCACCGACGACCCCCTCGGCTAGTTCTCCTGCCATCTCGGGAGATGGTCCGATGCTCTTGTGAACTCAGCGGGGAGGGGGACGAGACCAAGTCCCTGCCCTCCCAGCTGCGTCGCAGTGGGGGCTGCAGGCAGCGAGCAGAGGCTTGTGTCAAGTGGGAATGGGTAGGATGATGGGGAGAAGCTGGGCTGGGCAGGGCAGGGCAGGGCAGGGCTTAGGTGAATCATTGACAGACGACACTGGAGCCGTGCAGGTCTCTGCCTGAAAGTGCCCCAGGTGGGGAAGCAGCCTGTGCAACGGCCCTGGCATGGAGGGTGGCCAGTGTGGCGGGGGGGGGGGGGGGCACTGGAAGGTTCAGCTGGGAGTGCTGTGAGGGTGTGTGTAGACCCAGGGGCTCAGAGAGCAGCCATCGGAGCGGCCTTGTCAAAATTCAGGTGAGACACATAGTGGCCTGGACCAGGTGTGTGGTGGAGACAGCAGAAGAGAGCTTTTCCTTGAGGTTTTACCTAAATTCAGCAAGTGCGGCGATCTCAGGCTCGGTGGGCAGCACGCACCACATGGCGGCAGACTGCGGTGGGGCCTGTAGATGCCAGGTGGGTGGCAGAGCAAGCTCGGGAGCGCCCTGTGGGCAGCTGCGTGAAGATTTCCTCAGGGCAGAAGGCAGGCTGCCTAGGGAGAGGAGAGGAGAGGAGAGGCCTGCGCTGGGCGGGGAGCAGGCAGGGGTGGGCTGCTTGACCTGTGGCCTGGGTCAGACGCCACCACTGGACAGCCCAGGGCCAGGGAGACAGAGAGGGGCCTGGGGGGCCAGCAGCATGGAGCCCTTGGTGGATGTGGGGGACCAAGGGCCCCTACTTCAGGTTTATGGACCCCTGAGGAGAACCTCCTGCCGCTGGCGGGGGGAGGTGTGCGGCCAGAATGCAGCCCGTGCCCTCCCCCCAGCCTGAGCCCCCAACTCCACCCTGCTGCCTGTCTCCAGGGGTCTCACTCCCCCAGCCCTTCCTGCTCCCTCACAGACCCCCAGGGCTTCTCTCTTTGCCCGGGGGCTGGGGAGGTGAGCAGGTCTGAGCTTTTCACATCCGTCGTGTCGCCAGTGGACATGGGTCTGGGGATGCAGGCCGCTTGTGAAGGCTCAGGAATCCTCTAGAAGGGGAGGTGTCTCAGGAGTGAGTTGGACAGGTGCACCTGGAGGCCAGGGGGCCAGGAAGGAGACTGGGCTGGAGAGGAGCAGATGCTGGAGCCTGCTGGGGTACAGCATCAGGCTCGGGGGGTCCTGAGCTGGAGGTGCTGCCGGGGCGGGTGTGGTGACGTGATGCAGACTGAGGCCAGGCTTGGGGGGCTCACGTGCTCGGAGCTGTGTGACCACCGTGAGTCCTCCACCTCTGGGCCTCATCCCTGTCCCCTGGGTGGCCATCTCAGGTCACATGGTACAGTGTGAGCTATAGAAACACCTCACCGTGGGACGGCTGCCACCTGGAACCCCCAACATCCCCCCCACCTGTCCTCCCACAGCACACACTGCCTACCAACTCCCCATATAACTTACCTTCTTGTACCGTTGCCCCTTTGTTCCTCCTCACAAGCAGGTAACCCCCGGGGGGACAGGGGTCTGTCATGTTCACCGCACAAGGAGGCTCTGGGTAAATGTTGGTTGAATGAATGAATGAAAGAATGGACAGATAGATGAAGGAAGGAAGAGGGTCCAGGGTAAGGGCAGACTCATGGGGCAGGGAGCAAGGGCCAGGACAGAGGGCGGGAGCTGGGATGTGAGCCCTGAGGACCCTGGCTGGCAGGACAGAGAGCAGGAGGATGAGTCACAGCAAGTTTATTTTCGGATGGGGCTGTCAGCCAGGGGAGAATGGTGAGCTAAGTCCTGCCCTTGAGGAGCCCCCAGTCTCGGATCCAGACCCCTCCCCCAGCCCACCTGGGTGCTGGCTGGGCAGAAGGAGGATCCTGGGGCACCCAGAGGGGCCGGCATTAGTGGAGGGGATGGCTGGGGGACAGCGAGAGGCCAGGTCCTGTCTCTGCCAGCCGGTGCAGGAGACAGATGGGAGAGGGGAGGCGGAGGCAGAGGCAGAGGATGGAGGGGCCTGGGAGGCTGTGGGGATGGGCAGGCCTCCTGTGTGTCCTGCAGAGGGGCGCTGCTGGTTGACAAGTGGCCCCTGTTCTTTGGGTGGGCACCTGCTGAACTTTTGCGTGGGGGGCGTACCAAGCACTGTGGGCATTTGGAAGCCGAATGGGACTGCTGGCCCCATCTCCCCTCACGGGCCCATGCTTCCCCAGGCTGTCCCTGGGCCTGGCGCAGAGATTTGGCAGGCCCTGACCCCCAGGAAGAGGATGGGGCCCAGGGACACCTGGAGGAGGGAGGCCTTGGGGAGGAGAGGAGGGCCCTTTCCTCCTCAGCAGGCAGGGCTGGGAGTGAGCGAGGGGCTGGCGCTGAGCACGTGGCCCAGGATGCCCGCTGGGAGGCCTCCTGTTGAGCGCAGTCAGGAGTGACACCTGGGGGCCCTTGCTCCAGGCAGAAGACCTCCCCAGGGCCAAGGCCGCTCTGGGGTCTGGCATCGGCAGGATAGGGCTACAACTTAGTAGGCCGGTTGGGCGGGTGTTGAATTGACCAGAATTTGGCCTAGAAATGGGGAGTTGGGGACTGCTGGCGGTGCTGCCTGAAGGGGGGGCCTGCAGGCAGGGTGTTGATTGGCATGTAGGGGTTGGCCTGGCTGAGCAGCGAGGGAGGAGGCCAACTCCTGCGAGGAGTGGGGGAGAAGGGGGCTGTGAGTGAGGCTGGGGGTGGGTGCGATCAGGGCTCACTGTGGGCCCCCTGCCCCTCGTCTCCATCCACCCAACTGAAGGGAGGCATCTGCCTGAGACCCCCTTCCAGGGACCCTTGACGAGGGGTCCAGGCCGACTCCGCCCCAGCCTTCTGAGAGCCTGAGCCATTCCTGCCCCATACACAGGTTGGCGCTGTATGTGTACGAGTACCTGCTGCACATCGGGGCCCAGAAGTCAGCGCAGACCTTTCTGTCCGAGGTAAGCTGGCCCAGCCTCTCCACCCGCACCCCAGGTCCTCTCCTCCCAGGCTCTGCTGGGACCGCAGTGGTGGTGCCAGAGGGCCTCCCCGAAGGCCCTTGGAGCCGAGGGCTGGGTGGGTCAGGGCCTGCGGCTGGCGTACAGGCGTCTGTCCAGGTATCTGACGTTTGCCACTCTGCCCTTGTGCTTACCCTCCCGGCTACCTTGCTTTGGCCTGCTGGTTCCCTCCCCCATGTTCCCTGCCTGAGGAGGGCGGGGCGGGGGGACATCCGCAGACGGGGCAGTGGCCCCTCACCTGCTTTCCTTCTCCTGTGCAGATCCGGTGGGAGAAGAACATCACGCTGGGGGAGCCCCCGGGCTTCCTGCATTCCTGGTGGTGGTGCGTGCGGGGCTGGCGTGGGCAGGCTGTGGAGGGGGCTGGTGAGGGGTACGTGGGGAAACCATCATTCCCCCCTGCCACCCACAGCGTGTTCTGGGACTTGTACTGCGCAGCGCCTGACCGCAGAGAGGCATGCGAGCACTCCAGCGAGGCCAAGGCCTTCCAGGACTACGTGAGTCCCCGCCGCAGGGACCCAGTGCGGGCAGGGTGACAAGGCCTGGGGAGGGGGAGCTATGTGGCCCATGCTTGGCTTAGGTGGGCTGGGCGTCGCTCACCTACTGGGCCCAGGGTCGCTCACAGGGAGGCTCATCTCGCTCCACTGCAGCCCCCACCCCCTTCCGGAGGCCAGGCGCCCCTGCCCCCTCCACTTGGGCCCCGGTCCAGGGTAGACACACTGCAGCTCCTGCCTCCGCCACCGCCTGTCCCCTGCCATCCCAGCCCCTCTGAGCCTCCCGAAGGAGGAGCCCTGCTAGGGTTCTGGGGTCTAGCTGACAGCACCTAGGATAGTGCCTGACCTTGCTGTAAGACTAGGGGTGCTGACTTCCTGCTTTGGCCTCAGTTTCCCTCTCAGTTGATGGGGGTGTGTGGCGTCAGAGGCCTGTTTGGAGAGGAGCCTGGGGGGTGACTTGAGGGGATGGGTGGCATTTTGTCATGGGGGTGCAGATGGTAGTCCCCTGCCTTTATCTTCTTCACCCTGGCCCCTCAAAAGGCTGAGGGCAGGCCAGAGAGGGCTTTGGGGCCCTAGGCTGTGGGCCCAAGGGACAGGCAGCACCTCAGCCAGCTCCTGGGGGAGGTGCAGCTCCAGGCGAAGTCTCCATTTCCACCCCTTCCTCCCTCCACACCCACTTCCTCCAGCTGGTGCACTCACTCACCTCCCGCCTCAGGCCTCCCAGGGCGCCGCTGCCTCTGCCACCTCCGCCTCTCTCTGCAGCAGCACCTGAGTGCAGGCCTCTGCAGGGCCGGGGTACAGCCGCGAGGACGGGGGGTCCCCCACGTCTCTGAAGCCGCCCCTCGCACACTGTACGGGCATGCACAGAAGCTGGGGTCCCTGCTATTTGCCCCCATCAGATCCTTCTGTGCTTTTGTTGTCCCTGTGTCTGGGTCCCGCCAGACTTTGGGCCCAGGGGTGTCTGAAGCTGCGCCCCTCTTTGTGCCTCTCAAGTGTCCCTGGCGCTGTTACCCTCACAGCCCTGCAGTGCCTAGGCCCCCACCTGGGTCTGACAGCTTCTGGAGGGGGACGAAGCTGGGTTCCACATCTGTGAATAGTGCTTCCTGGTGCTTCCTGGTTACCATGGCAGCAGGGCAGGGGTGGGATGGGAGGGGGACAGGCGCAGGCACAGCAGTGGGGGGCGCACAGGGTGTCGGCACTCTGCAGTCCCTGCTTTAGCTGGGGCCACCTCGCCCACCCTCCAAGGGGGGGCCCCGCCTTCCCCCTCCAGGCTACTTCGGCATCTCCCATCTCCGAGAAACACCAGCACGCCTAGCCTGTCGTCATGGCAATGTGGGCTGGGTGCCTTTGGGTGGGTGATTGACGTGGGGGCGTCCAGCCCAAGCCTCCTGAAAAGGAGGGTGGGCTGGCTGTGTATTAACCCTTAATGGCCTAGAGTTGGGGAGCCGCGGGAGTGAGGAGTGGCCTATCTACCCTACACCTCGTGATCCAAGCCTGGCTCACGGCCTTCCCCACCACCTCTCACCACCGCTCCCCCCCCGCCCCCCCCCCCCGCCCCTGCAAACCCTCCTGCCAGGAACCCCTCTGGCGCCTACTACGGCTGTGAAGGGGGGCCACTCCCCTCCCAGTGGGGCAGACAGTGAGGGGGTGGACAGACCCAGGGCTAGGAGGAGTCCCCTTCCAGCCACTGAGGTAGGCCTGCCAGAGTAGCTGTTACAAGCCATGAGGCTGTGTGTTTGTATGGGAGGTGACATGGAGGCAGGGGGACCCAGGGGCTGAAAGCTTTGTCTTTGCCACCCCCAGAGTCACTTGGGTTTTTCAGGTGACTTGTGCTGGGCCCTGGGAGTGTTCTCAGCCACTGTAGACCTGGGGAGGCTCCCATCCTCCATACCCCCAGCTTGGGGCCTGCCTGGGCAGGAGTCCTGTAGAGGCAGACCTTTGAGAAGGAGCAGGAAGGGCGCCTGGCTGCAGTTTCTCTTGGGGAGGGGCTGGTCTTCAGGGGCCCCTTGCCCCACTCCGGTTGGGCAGGAAGTGTTGTGTGATTGGGCTCCTGCTTAACCCCTCTGAGCCCAAGTGGCTGCAGTCCCACAAATTCCTGAGCAGCCCTGGTGCTGGTTTGCACCAGCCTCAGGAACAGCAGTAATGAGGATACCCTATCCCCCTCCCCCTGCGTCCTGGTAGGGGTGGGGGAGGGTGGGTGATGCAGACAGACAGGAGTGGGGGCTCCCAGAAAAGCACTCTCTACTCAGTGCCCTTCCCTGTGCTTTGATGTGTCCCCTCTGCCCTGTGGACTAGCTCTCCACCCCACCTCCCCGCCTGCTCTGTGGGCCCCCATGGCTGACAAGCCTGGGACTTGGGACTGACCAGAGCAAGTGACTTTTCAGCCTGTCCCCTGTGTCTCTACCCTTGGTTCTCACACTAATGCCCCTCTGGCACCTGGCCTTCTCCCCTCCTCCATCTGAAGAGAGGTTGGGGGCCTGGACACCACACCCAGGGAACCAGCTCTTCTCCCCTCCCTCCGGGAGCGCGGTGGGAGTGGTCTGCACAGCAGCCCTGGAGAGGGAGGTTCACCTTGAAGCTGTTGATCTTTTGTCTGTTTATTTGGCATGTACGGGGCAGAGCTGGGGGTCCAGCTAAGCTGCTTTGCTAGCTAGAAGGACACGGTGTGTGGGGAAGGGCCTGTGGTCAGGGACAGGACCCCTGCCCAAAGGAGGCTGGATTCGGATGGAAAGAAATCAGCCTGTGATGGATTCCTGGACCGAGTGTATGCCAGTCCTGTGTGGCTGACATTTTTAGGCACCCCCCCACCCCCAATCTGTGGTCTTGGGATTCTGGGGATTGAGATCTCTGGATCCCTGTCCTTCTTCATGGGCTGGGGGCTCAGCCTGGCTGGGCCCTGACCACCTCCAGGTTCTCAGGTGCAGCAAGGAGGCAGAGCCCCTGCAAGGCCACCCAGGCAAATAAAAGTCTGTGGACCTGTCAAGGTTGTTAAACTGGTGCGGGAACAGCTGCTCTGTCACCCAGAGGACCCACCCTCCCATGCGTGGCCAGAGAGTCGGATGGCTAGGGTTCCCTTTTCTGTGGGACTGGCTGCTTGCTGAGAAGAGGGGACACGGGGCCAAAAGTGTCCCGGCTGACCCTTGGCATATCCTCCACCCTACAGAGCGCTGCGGCTGCCCCCAGTCCTGTGATGGGGAGCATAGCCCCCAACGATGCAATGGCAGCAGGCCCCATGGCACCTGGCTTCTTCCAGGTACAGGGCTGGGGCCCTTCCCGGACCCTGGGTGCACATGTGTCAGAGTGACAGGCATGGGTGCTGACGGGTGGGGGTCCTATGTTGGGAGAAGCCCTGAGTCAGGCAGGCTGGGGTTGGGTGGGAGGGTTGGGGGGGATGGGGGGGATGCACATGAGGGCCTTGGTGGTGCTGGCAAAGGAGGGGCTATAGGGTCTGCGCTCCAGTGCAGGAGAGGGCGGGGGCTGCTGCACACTTGACCTGCCTGCGAGCGTGCCAGGGTGCCAGGGCCCACAGAGCGTGGCTCTCTCGGCTGTGGGTCCTGTCCTGACCCCTCCCATAGGGGATACCCTCAGTCCTGCTGACTGGCCCACCCCCTTGCCTCCGTGGCGTTCCCTCCTTCCCCTCCCTTGGCCAGATGCAGCAGGGCCTCAGAAAACAGTGGAGTTTCCGGTGCCCTGGCTCTGGCTCTTCCCAACCTATCTGGTTCTGTCCTAGGGCCCCCCTGGCTCCCAGCCAGCCCCCCACAACCTCAGCACCCCAATGATGGGGCCTCACATTCAGGTAAGGATCTGTGACACCCCGCCCCTTTGCCCAAACACACACCCCTCTGTGCTCGCACACACCAGGAGCCAGCTGCTACGGTTTGCTGGCTGGGCCTGGAGGAGGGGCGAGCCAGGTTCTGGGCCTGGGTGCAGCAGGAACCAGGTAGCTTTGGGAGGGGGGTGAGTGGGTGGGGGGGAGGTGCTGACCTCTGGCCCACCTCTTCCAGCCCTTCATGTCACCACGGTTCCCAGGGGGCCCCCGGCCCACCCTGCGGATGCCGAGTCAGGTGAGAGAGGGAAGACAGACGGAGGGGGGCAGGAGCTGGGCCGGGGTGGGGCACCATGCTCAATGCTCCATGCCCCTCTGCAGCCTCCCGTGGGCCTCCCTGGCTCCCAGCCCCTCCTCCCTAGCACCATGGACCCCTCCCCGCGTGCTCAGGGTGAGTAGGGGAGCTCCAGCAGCTGTCCTCCGTTACCCTTCAGGACCCCAGCTTTACGTGCCCCATCTCTGCTGTTTCACTGTACGACCACCCCCCGCCCCAAGGCATGTGTCCACACTGGGCAGTGGTCCCAACCTGAGCCACCTTCCTTCTGCCCCCATCCCAGGGCATCCGAACATGGGCCCCATGCAGAGGGTGACTCCTCCACGGGGCATGGCCAGCGTTGGGCCCCAGGTAAGGGGTGGACCAGGGGGCTTCAGGGGCTCTTCCCCTCTTGGCCTGCACTCAGGGCCCTTTCCCCTCACAGAGCTATGGAAGTGGCATGCGGCCCCCACCCAACTCCCTCGCTGGCCCAGGCCTGCCCGCAATGAACATGTAAGGCCCAAGGGACCCCCAGAGTGTGCCCCCAGGGGCCACCATCCAGCTTCTTGGGACTGGATCAGCACAACAGCCCGGGATATTATTTGTCCACTGTTGGTTGGGGAAATTGAGGCCCAAAGGCCAGTGAGTGATGGGTTGAGGTTTCCAAGTGGTTACCACTTAGCCAACATCTGCAGTTTTGGGCCCCAGGGGGCAGGGTGGGCGGGGGTGGCGTGCTGCCCAGCCCAGCCCCAGGTTCCACCCACCATCTCTTAAAAGGGGCCCCGGAGTGCGCGGCCCGTGGGCCAGCCCCAGTGGCAACTCGGTGAGTTGGGGAGCGGGGGGGGGGGGGCGGGGGGTGGGTAAGGGGTGTGGATGGTACCACCTGCCAACTGCTTACTGCTGCCCCTCTCCCCAGATCCCCTATTCTGCCTCCTCCCCTGGCAGCTACACAGTGAGTGGGGCCGGCACTTGGCAAACTCAGTGGTGGGGGGAGCAGGGTGGCAGGCGGGGGCCTTTCTAATGTTTTGTCTACCTCTGTGTTCAGGGACCCCCAGGAGGCGGTGGGCCCCCTGGAACACCCATCATGCCCAGCCCTGGAGGTACTAGGGTCTGGGGGGGCATAAGGAGGGGTATGTTTGAGGGAGGCCCCTCAAACCCAGGCCTTCATGCCTCATCTCCCCCAGACTCCACCAACTCCAGCGAGAACATGTACACCATCATGAACCCCATGGGGCCAGGTGCCGGCAGGGCTAATGTGAGTGGGGAGCCGCGCGTAGGGGCAGCTGGAAGTGGTGGCCCAGCTGGCGAGTGGTGGCCTGAGCCTCACCCTGCCCTTCTGCCTGCAGTTCCCACTGGGCCCCAGCCCAGAGGGCCCTATGGCAGCCATGAGTGCGCTGGAACCTCACCACGTGAACGGATCCCTGGGTGAGTGGGCAGCCTGGGACTCACCCCCCACAGGCTTCTTTGCCAGCCTCATGCTCCCCCTGAGGGCCACCTCAACCCCCTCTACCGCCCCTGTACCTGTGTTCCCTCTAGGGGCATCCAGGTTGTGCCTTGAGCCTCCAAGGGCTACTTAGTGATGTGGGCTGCGCTAGGGGGAGGTAACTAAACTGCGGGACGTCTGGCTGCCAACAGATATCCCTTCAGGCCCTCCTCCCTGGACCCCCAAGCGGGCTGAACTGAAGGGTGGGCGCAGCCACGGGGCAGGGGGACGTTTGCGGAGGACCCCAGAGCAGGCGCTCTGAGCCGCGTGTCCCCGTGTCTGTCATCCATAGGCTCGGGCGACATGGACGGGTTGCCGAAGGTGAGGAGCCACGCTCAAGCGGGGCTGGGGGGTGGGGCGGGCGGGCAGACAGAAGTCTCGCGTTGACTGCGGCTGCCCCCAGAGCTCCCCCGGCGCAGTGGCCGGCCTGAGCACCGCCCCGGGCACCCCGCGGGATGACGGCGAGATGGCGGCCACCGGGACTTTCCTGCACCCGTTCCCGAGCGAAAGCGTAAGCGACTGCGTCGACTCTCCCCCCGCGGCGGCGTCGGGCCGGAGGGGCCTGGCGGGCAGGCCCCGGCGGGGCGGCCGGGGGGCCAGAGCAAGACCGTGACTGCGGCGGGCCAGGTGGGGGGGCGGCCGCGGCATCCTTCCCCTTCTCTCCCTCCCCACTCCTGCCCAGGTGTCACGCCCCTACCCTGCCCCCATCCAGTGACCTTCGCCCCAGGGCGGTCTCAACTCCCTAATTTCTTCGATGCCTGCCCCCCTCATCCGTGTGTGCCCCACCAGTCCATTTGTCCATTCTCCCGGGGGGGCGGGTCCCAGCCTAGACCGGAGCTGAGCCCGCGCCCCGCGCGCCACCCCCTCGTCTCTCCGCAGTACTCGCCTGGGATGACCATGAGCGTGTGACGGGGCAGCAGCCCCTTGCCCACTGCTGGCCTCGTCCTCTGCCCAGCGCCCCTGCCCTGGGGCCAAGGGCCAGTGGCTCAGGTGGTCTGCAGGGGGAGGGTCTGAGGTCACACCTCGGGCAACTGGACTCCCGGTCCAGGCTTGGAGCCTGGGAGGCCCCCCCATGAAGGACTCTCATTTTATTAAAAAAACAAAACAAAACAAAAACAAAAAAAACGCAAGGACCTCAGTGATGCTCTTTTCCATGTGGGCCCGACCCCCACCCTCACCTGTTTGTCTTGGGGGACTCCTGGGGGGGCCTCCTTCCCTCGAGACAGTAAGGGGTGGGCCCCATCAATAAATGTAACTTGTTTTGGTTTTTGGTATCTGGTCTCGGGATTACTTCACTTTGGCTTGCAGCCACACCACTCTGGGGTCTCAGCCCCACATTCAGGGCTGGAGTTAGGCAGAGGCCCTGGGGGTCCTGGAAGGTCCCTGAGGGTTGAGACAACAGTTTTGAAGGGTAGGTAGGAGTCCTACCAGGTGAGAAATAAGGGAGTATTAAGGTTAGGTTGAAAGCCCCAAAAACCTGCTAGTGTGGCTGATACATAACAGTGCTTTTATTGTATTTGGAGGGGCCTGGGAGGGTGGATCCAGAGGGGAAATAGGGGTAGGAGTTGCAGGAGCTGTACGGTCACCACCCTAGGCGGTGGGCATCAGGGATGCCTCAGTCTGTGAGTGCCCACTGGCGTCACCAGTACAGCCATTGGGGGCCACTGGTGCCGATTCTTTCTTGTAAGACACATGGCAGGCAGCCAGGGGACCCACTTGCTTGAGGCTGGGGCGCTCCATCTTGTGCTCCAGGAGCATGTGGTTCTGCGGTGGAAGCCCTAGGAAGGCCCTGGAGGACAGGCAGGGGTTCAGCAGGGCCTCCCATCCCTAAGGCCCTGTGTGCATCCCCAAGAGTACAGGACCAAGGGTGGGGCCCACAGGTGGGGCACACCTGAGGATGTTCTCGATGCAGCTGCGCTGTCGGAAGAGTGAGTTGACCACAGGGCTGCCTGGCGGAGCCAGCGGCGCCTTAAAGAGGAAGCCGAGCAACGACAGTACTGAGTGGAAGCCCTGTGGCTCCGGGTCCGAGTCGGTGCAGAAGCTCACACGTTGGCACAGCTCAGTCAGGAGCACCAGGTCCAGCATGATAGGTGCGGCCAGGAGCGAGTCCTGCAGGGCCAGTGGGTCAGGCGACAGGTAGGCAGGCAGGTGGGGGGGTCCCTACCCTCCCCCCATGCGCTCCACACCTCACAGGTGTTGTGTAGCACCAGCGTGTTGGTGCCACCCAGCATCAGCTCCGATGTATATTCATCCATGGCGCGCTTGCTGTCACCCACATATGGCACATACTTGATAACCACCTGGGGGGCGGCAAGGGGTCATACAGGTCGACCTTCCTCTGCCAGGTGCCCTCCAACTCCTCCCCCACCCCCACCCCGTCATCTGCGCCCCACACACGCAGTGGTCAGGCTCCTCGCCAGGCGCATAGAGCACAGGGTTGCTCTGCACCATGTCATCCACCACGCTGCTCTTCGACACCTCCTTGGAGCGGAACTGCAGTGGCGCTGACAGGTTCTGCCCGTCATTGTTGCCCAGGTGGTTGTAGCTCACGATGGACATAGTCTGTGGGAACAAGGTACCCCGCTGACACTTGAGGCCCTGGAGTGCAAGAGCCTGGAGCTCAGGGTCTAGACTCCACCTGAGCCACGCACCCCCCAGGCCCATGCACCTTGAGGCCGGAGCTGATAAGGAAGTCAACAAGCACAGACTTGACCTTGGTCTGGCCTGACTTGAAGTCATCTCCTCCCACAAAGACGCGGCGCTGCCAAGCGAGCTCAAGTGCGCCGGGCACCAGAGTGTTCTGCGGTGACCCATTGAGGAAGGCGCAGTCCTCCAAAATGCTGGCCACTGCGAAGAGCGTGGAGGGTGACACCTCCAGCCCCAGCTGCAGGTGCAGGTGGACAATCAGTGGAGGCATTCTCCTGGCCCGCCCTGACCATGATCCACCTTGGGTGTACCCACCTGGATGGTACGCAGCAGGTTTTCAGCGGTGTCATTGAGGCCCGGGACCAATTCGCAGAAGCGCTCTGTATTTGCTGTCCACAGCACAATGACTTTGTCGAGCCCGGCGCGGGACCGGAAGTCGCGGATGTCCCTGCGGATCTGCTCCAGCTAGGGAGGGAGGAAGGTAGTACAGACCTCCTGACCAGGGGAGGCCTGAGCTACTCAGTTCCCCAACTGCAAAGGGGCCTAGACCCTTGAGATGGGGGCATGGGGAAAATGGGGGGAAGGCCGCAAAAGGGAGGTAAATGGGGAACAGGTGGCAGGGGAAGGGGCAAATGGTAGTGAGAACGAGTGCTGCACCTGCTGCGCCCGCGTGCCAGGGATGAGGTTGTCGGCACGTGCACTCTGGTTAGCTGCGATGAACTCGGGGATGTAGACCGAGGGCCTTGGGCGCAGGGCCTCCATGTGTGGCCACAGCTGCTCCTGTAGCCCCCAGTCCAGGACCTGCGCGCGCCGCATCGCCTCGGCCAGGTTCAGCGACGATATGTCCCAGCCTGGGGGCAACCCTAAGGCTCGGCCAGGCCCTGTAGCTGGGCCCCTCCAGGCCCCGCCTCCCACCCCATCCCCGGCCCAGGGCCCCGCCCACCGTCGAACACGAGGTCATCTGGCGACACCATGGGCAGCAGCGCGCGGAAGGGGACAAACACCTCCTGGCCCTCAGAGTCCAGGCCCAGGCTAACGGTACCAGCCTGCGTCAGCGAGCCGTAATAGTTGGCCTCCTGGGAGCGGCGTGGGAGGGAGGGGGACGGAGTGATGGTGAGAGTGGGCATAATGTGGGAGGACCCATGAGCCCCGCCCTACTTTGGGGGCCTGGTCTCCGCTCCAAGCCAGGGCAGAAGCTGTTGCGCCCCGCTGGAGGCCTCTCTCCAGAGTCCGCCAGCACCTTAGCACCTTAGCCTCTGCCCCCGTGGAAACCCCTCCCCTGGTCCCGTCTTCTCGGAGTCCGTGCCCTCCCCCGCACCCTGCATGGACTCCTGCGGAATCCTAGCTTCCCTAACACCCCATCTGACCCTCCACCTTGCGACCCGTGCGAGTAGGCCAGGACAGGCGCAGCCGGTTGGCTAGCACAGCAGCGGTGAGCGTGGAGCCGTTGTTGCCGCCCCAGCCGACGAGCATGACCCCGAGTCGGGGCACTTGCCGGGCGGTCCGGAAGGTGAAGCGCGTGGAGGAGGGGTGCACCTGGGACAGACGGTGCAGTGAGCCCGGGGCCGCAGACGTTGGGCAAACCCATCCCCTCCCGGCTCTCCCGGTTCCTCAATCCCCGGCTTCCCTTGCCCACCTTGAGGATGCCATCCTCGCGCCTGACGCTAGTAGTCCGGTACTCGTACTGCGCCTCGATGGCTTCGGGGCCGTAGACCACGTCGGGGCTCTCAACCACAAACTGGGCTGCGGCCTCCATCGCAGCGAGCTGGGGACACGGGGTTGGCGGGAAGTCAGCGGGAACACGAGAACGGGCCGAGCCGACCTCGATTCCCCGGACCTGCACCCCACCCGGAGCCCCCTACGCCCCACTCACCAGCAGAGTCGGTTCAGACAGCGGCGCAAGGCTGGCGTTCCGGCGCGCGAACTCTAGAGAAAAGAGCCGCGGCCCCGCCCTCACTCCGCCCCTGGCTCCGCCCGCGCCGTGGAGCTAGGTGCCGGGAGGAGGGGCACGCTGGCCTTGGACTCAGGTTCGAGGCCCAACAGCGCAGGGCCCACGAGGCTATCACGCGTCCGCCCCACCGGGCGCTGCTGGACACCCACGTGGGCTGTAGACCCTGGCCCCAGCAGCAGCCCGCGGATTCACGTCCCACCAGTCTGCCTGGGCGCGCAGCCTCTTATCCCCATTTCACAAGAGAACATTAAGGCACCAGGCCCCAGTCACAAGGCAGGATGGCTGGGCCTATGAGGGCGGGTGTCCCTGGGTCCGAGATACTGCAGGGGAAACTGGGGCAGCGCTACGAGCTAGGACTTGCATCTCAAAGCCAGACTCCCAGCCCAGGCTGCCTCCCTGTCCTTCCTGAGTGGTAGCACCCACCAAGCACTCGGACCTGACAGGGCTCTCACATAGGGGGGTCCTGGGAAAGCAGGGTTTCCCAGCTGCAGCAGGAGGGCTTGGTAGGGCCAGGTTGGGGGCGGGGCGGGGGGGCTGTTAGGTGGGCAGGGGAGAAAAGGGAACCGGCAAGGCCCAGGCAGCCAGCTGGGGAGGAGCTAGGCTTGCACAGCACTGCATCCCACTAGCACCCAGTGATAAGGGAGCGTGGGAACCTGGCGGGTAGGCGGGGGTGGCTCCCCAGGAACTTTCCAAAACAAGAGGCCTCCTCTGGCTGAAAAGTTTCCACGACTGGAGTTGGCCCAAAAGGTGGACAGTTGGGAACATTTGCAGGAAATATGGTCAGGGCCCCAGCCTTGGGGGGTGGGGCTCTAGGACTGGCCCCAGGCTTTGCTCTCAAGGGTCCCCCAGGGCGGGGGAGTTGGTAACAGACTGGGGCCCCTCCAGCTGGAGAGAACTCAGAGGGATTGCTGGTCAAGGCAGGCTGGAAGGGGTCTTGTGATCTGAAGACATCTCTTATCAAGAGAGAGAGGCTGCCCAAAACCCTTGGGGCACAAGTTCAGGAGCAGATGAAAAGGCGGCTGAGGAGGGGAGGTGGTATGGGGAACCAGGCAGACCCTCAGGGGACAGAAAACGGTGTATTTGGGTTCTGTCCTGGTTCTCGGGTGGAGACTGACTGGCCACCAGTGGCCAGTGATTTACTCATACACCTACATAATGTCACCTCCATAAAACCCCAGCAATGGGGTATGGGTGAAAGTGCGAGGTGCAGGGAAGGTGACACACGGAGAGCAGGAACGGAAGCCCTGTGCCAGTCCCCCCGCCCTGCCTGTGCCATCTCCCCCGCTTTGGCACCCTGTGAGCCATTCTAGCAAAGTGCCAAACCCACAAGGGGGTCATCCGAAATCTCAATTTATAGTCAGTTGTTCAGAAGTCTGGGTGGCTGGGGTCTGAAGTGGGGGGCAGTCTTGTGGGACTGAGCAGTTTAAGCTGTGGGGTGGGATGCCAGCCCCGGAACTTGAACTGTTGGACATCCGGTTGGTGTCGAACTGGAGGGTCATAGAGGGAGCTCATACCTCCAGGCCAGATGTGATGTCATGGGAATGTGTGCAGAGAGGAGAAAGGCCCCTAGACACAGCCCTAGGGAACCTCAGCATTCCCAGGGCAGCATGTGGGAGGTGCCAGCAGGAGGCTTGGCGCGGCAGAGCGAGCCCAGACGGGCTGGGGGGGGGGGGGCAGCTGGAAGCAGCTGGGGGCTATGCCTCACTGTAAGATGACTGCTGGGATGGCTGGGCATGCAACATGGGGTGAGGGCTGCCTGGGGGCTGGTGGTAACTGGGGACCACCATCCAGACCAGGCCACAGCCTCCCAAGGCAAGGGCAGAGCTGTCTTGGTTACTGCTGGGTGCCAGTGCCTACTAGGGGGAGCCTGGTGCACAGGAGCTCTGGGATCCAGGTGCTGGTGGAAGGACAAATGGCAGGATAAGGTGGACAGCCCCAAAGCCATGGTGTAGGTCTCGAGGGGCGGGGGAAGACCCTTTTGGGCCCCTGAGGGGACCGGACTCACTGCATTCTTGGCTTAGGAAGGACAGTCAGGGAACCAACTGCAGCTACAGCACACTAAAGAGGGTGGCACTGGGCAGTGTCGGGGGCTGCGGGCAAGGCTCTCAGAGGGGGGAGGTGGATGGGCGGGCAAGGCTGAGGCGTGACAGGGGGAGGCAGAGTACACTCTGCCCTGCCAGGCCCGCCCGACCTCGCCTCCCATGCTCCTCAGATCCCTGGGTCTTCTCAGAACTCAGGCCAAGGTCGCTGGCCGGGGGGCCACCAGGGAGGCTGAGGCCCACAACCCTGACCCCTGGACATTAATCCTGGTCTCACTCTTTATCTGCTTTTCCCTCCCAAAATAAACGCCCACCCTCCACTGTGTCCTTGGAGGCCAGGATTTCCGCCTTTGGCTCCTCACCTGAACATAGGAGAGGATGGCCATGGGCCTGTAGGGCTCCAATGGGCCTCAGCATCCCCATCCCAACTGGGGGCTCAGGGGACCCCTATCGTGCCAGCCTAGGAGGAACAAACAAAGTTACCATAGTTGTTATCAGTCACAGCTCATTTCCCCAAATAAGGGCGCTTCCCTCACCCCGCATGGTGCTGCTGCAGGCCCGAGGAACCCTCTGTGGGACTCAGCCCACCCCATCCATACTGCAGTTAGGGGGCCCACTACCCTGCTCATACACCTGCCTCCCCAGTTCCTCTGTTGTTTCTTACCTGCGACCAGGTGGTCTTGGCCTCCTGCCCTGGCACCTGCAGGGCCCATTGACTCAGGTCAGCCTTCACCTGCTGGCCTCATTCCTAGGCAGTGGCTCAGGCAGGCTGCCCAGAATGCTTTCTCTGCCCAGCCACCATGGCCTGACCCCAGCCCAGCCCCACATAGGACCAGGCCACCTGGCTGTGACAGACAGACAGACACACCCACACAGCCTGGGCTGCTAGATTCAGTTCAGTGAAATTTATTGTAGGTTGAAAAAAATCAGCATTCACCTGTTTAGTGTACAAAAAGGACACTAGATCTTTAAGAAAATATTAGGAAACTGCAGACGTGGATGCTTTCAATTGTAACATTTTGGCAAAAGTGAAAAGTTCTTGTAAACACCAACTCCATGGCTCAATATAGTTTTTCTCCACAGTACAATATTAAAAGGAAAAAAAAACAGTATCAATAAGTTAAGACCATATTTAATCAGCTAGAACTTTTGTCCATCAACCCCCAAAGCATAAAACTTTTCTTAGCTTCATAATTCCTTAAAAGGAAGGGAAAAAACAAACAACAAAAAGGAAATTCAACTGAAAGTCCCCTGACCAGGGCAGAGGGCTGGGCCTCCTTAAATGATCCCTTGTCTCCAGTCTGCCTATCCTCATACATGGCTGTGTGCACAACTCGGGGTCCAGGGTTTTCTCAGCCCTTTTCCATTCTGTCCCAAGTGAAAAACAACACAACAGCTAGGGAGACATGAAGGATGAGCTTCCCTGGTGCTGGGACACCCAGGGGCCTGTGGAAAAGACTGTGGGGTGAGCACAGTGCAGGCGTTCACAGGGGGCCTGCTCTCTGGGAAACCATCAGGAGGTGCCCCGTAGCTTACACACAGCTGTGCCTGTGAGCACTGCTGCTCTCCCCGCAGGGTGTGGGTCACAGCTACCCCCCGCCCCGCCACTGAAGGTGGTCCTGAATCTGAGTGCAAACCTCAGACCCCACCATGCCCTGGCACCTGGGGTCACACACACGCACACACACGAACACATACACACAGCTCCCCGATGCTCTGGAGGACACTACACTAGGCACAGTGACTAAGCAGCAATTGGGGTGTCCATACAGCCTGTGTCCCCAGAGTGGGTGGACTAGGAGCCTTTTCTGAGCTCACTCTCAGGGGCCCCCTGACCCTACCAACCCCCAGCCCCTCCCTGAGTGCATACCCCGTGGTGGCTCTGCTAAGACAACACCAGGACCCACAAGGGGACTGAGAAACGGAGTGAGGTCCCAAAAGTACAACATGAAAAGCAGCAGTAAAGGGGAAATTGAGAACATGGAATAAAGTCCAGCACTGTTGCTGCATAATGAGCTTGTAGCACAGAGAACCCCAGTGCCCGACAGCTGAGGGCCTGAAATAGTGGACAGGCCAGGGGCTCCAGCAGCTGCTCTGGGGGCCAGCTGGAGTTCCCAAAATAGACCTGGGGGGTTGACCCACCCTGCACACCCCCTTAGAGAGAGCCCACCCTTGCTTGGGCTTGGAGAGCCTGGTCAGGCACTCAGCCAGAGCCCGGCCTGGGAAAGGTGACCAAGGCTGGTCCCCCGCCCAAACTTCCCAATGGCATCTGTAATACTGCAGAAAGAACATAGGGCAGCGTCTAGACCCTGGGCGTCCAAAGAGGGGGAGGCACAGGTTTAGAAAAAAGATGCTTTCTCTTTCATACAAAAATAGACTCAAGTCTCATGAGCAGTAGCTAAAAGTGGCTGTCTTTGTATAAAACTAGAAAAGGCAGGCAGGCCGGCCAAGTCTTCCAGCAAGAGGAAGCTGAAGCCCCTTGGGCTGTAGTCAGCGAAGAGTTGGGCTTCCTAGAGAGCTTGTTCCAGGCAAGGGCTGCTCAGGAGGTACAGGGGCCAGGGATCACCCCACCTGGGTCCCCACCTGGATCTGTGACCTGTGGGTGCCAGGTCTGCAGGGGCTCCCCTGAAAGCCGGCATTGCTGGCTCAGATGAACTTGTCTTCCTTGTGTTTATTTTGTTAAATAAATTCCCCCCCCTTTTCAGCTCCCCCCGCCCCGCTGCCCCGGCTCCCCTGATCCAGGGAGGGGGAGCTCCTGTCCTGTGGCCTGGGGCTAGGGCCAAGCCTGCAGCTGCCGCTGGTCATACTCGGCAATGAGCCTCTTGATGTGGGCCAGCTTGCTGTGCAGGTACTCACAACGGTGCTTCTCCTGGCTGTAGTTGGTGTTGGTCTGCAACAGAGCGGCAGGGTGAGCCATGTCCTGCAGCCCCGGCATCCTGGAGCATGGCTGTAGTGGGCGCTCCCCCGTGTGGAGATGGCTAGCCTACTGGCCACCTCAGGCTCCCACTGTTCCTGCTTACAGGCCAGTGCCCACTGGGCAATGACAGGGACCCCTGCTCCACCTTGGGCCAGAGCCCTGGTCTGGCTTCCCTCCCAAGCCCCATGCCCTACCCTGAGAAATGGGGTTGTGGCACAGGGGCGGGTCAGAGGCGTGACAGGCATGAAGCCTCCAGGCTGGGCTAGGCAACGGCTGGCAAGGACCCAGGTGGCATGCAGGGCACACAAATGGTGGACCCACAGCTAGTGGCCTTCAGGAATAAAAGCTGATATCGCCCTGACCACCATCGGCAAGGAGCCACCTCACAGATCTTCAGGAACCCCGAGGAGAGAGCCCTGAGCCCATGAGGCTGGGCATCCCTGCCAGACGAGTAGCTGAAGCTGGGAACTTTGTCTCCTTTCCTTGACCTTCCAGGTTGCATACTGAGCAGCGGGGGAGCTTGAGGGCACTGGGGTGCATGGTGAGAAGCTGCTCCCTACCACCTCCCACAGCGGGGTGGAGACTCACCTTTTTGATTTTGCGATATTCCTGCAAAATCTGCCCACGAGTAGTCTAGAGGAAAACAAAACAGGAAGAAAACAGTGCCCTCACCTGTCGGAAGCTCCAAGTGAGTGGAGGGGGCCTCACTGATAACCCATGACCTGCATGTCACCACTGGCCTGGGGACAATAAGCCTCCAGGTGGCCCTGAGGAGAGCTGATCTATGTACAGAGGAAGGGCAGGCTGGGAGAAGGAAGCGGGACCTGGGCAAAGTTCGGGGACCCAGCCTCAGGGACAAGCCAGCGCAGTGGGAGGGGGCAAAGAGCAGGCAGGGGGCCTCCTTCCCTTGCAGCCCAGTGGCCCGCCCACTGTTCATGGCTAAGCCCAGAGGCCCTCGCTACCTGGGTACGCAAGGGGACACTGGGGCGCATACACTTGATGGGAATGCTCTGGGGGCTCATCTGTCCCAGTCCCTCAGACCCCCATCACTCCTTCAATCAAGAGATGTCTCCTCTGAAAACCAAAGTGGCCTCTGCCAGTAGAGACAAACCCTGACTGCTGACTGACTATGGCTGACCCTGTAGTCAGGCGACCAGCTCTGAAAGGTGGCCCAAGAGGGTGGCTAGCATCCCAGGGCTGGTGACCAAGACTCTCTCATTGCAGGGAGCTCCCACATAAGGGCTTAGGGAGACTACGTGTCCTTGGCCAGAGGACGAGGACTCCTAATACAGGTGGGAGGACGACCACCAGGGCTCTCCATCCTCTCCCACCTCCCACTGTGGCTCTGACGGGGCACAGGTGGGCCACGGGGGCCATGGGGTGCCGTGTGGCCCGGCCCTTCCCCTCCTGGCCGAGGCGCACCCTGTGGTGTGGGCAGCAGGCTGCACAGAGGACCCCAGGCACTCTCACAGGTGGGACACAGCCCCGACCCACTGTCCCCTGGCCTCGCCTTCCTGGCTGCTCTGAGCATCACCCTCGTCCCCAGGGCCCGAGCTCCACCTGCTGAGTTGGCTCCACTGTCCCCACTGCAGAGACCAAGCAGGCAGAGAGCCTTCGGGCTCCAGTGGCAGAGCCCAGGGATAGGCCTCAATCAAGTAACCAGCAAGGGGTGACCACCTGCCAGTCCATGAGGGGCAAAACGCTGGCACAGATCCTCACCAGGGAGGACAGGGATTAGGTTTAGAGGCCTTGGACTTAGCTCAACTATGAGAAACAGGACCCCCTCCCTGGGTGAGGTGTGGGCAGTGGGCCCTACCTCGTACTCTTCGGAGCCCTGGGAGAGCTGCCGGAGCTGGGCATCCAACTGCGTGAAGCGCCGCGTGATCTGCTCGATGCGGGCGTGCAGGTCTCGGTACTCACTGTACTCAGCATTGAAGTCGTTCTTATAGCTCTGACGCTGCTCCGAGGAGGAGATGGTGGCATATTTTCTGGAAATGGGAGAGAGAACGGTGGGGCTCAGGGCCGCTGTAGAGAGGCTGCAGTGCCCGTGGCCACGCGAACAGCCCCCACCCAGGGAGGGCCTGGCCTAGAACAAGCTGAGTGGCTGGAACCGCACTCAGGCACTCGGACTCCGTCTTGCTGCTGCTGACCTGCAGCGCGCGGAGGGAAGGGGCGCCAGGGGTGAAGCCCCCGGGAGAAGCGGCTGAAAGGAAGTACTCACAGCAAGTAGTCAGGCGTCTCCGAGGTTGATGTGGGGACGCTTGAGCTGTTGCAGGTCCCATTTAAACCTACAAAGATCAAACAAAATCTGCAAAAGGTACATGCTTCATTGTCTGAAGGACATGGAGGGACAGCAGTGGGACTGTGAGAGACTGTGGGACCCTGCTGGACCCAGGGGAACCTCGGCCTTTCCATCATGGTTGTAGGCATATGTTTCTAAACCACAGCTGTGTAAGTACAGAGCAAACAAGTCCCTGGAGTGTCTGGTTCCGGCCATGAAGCACAAAAACAGACGGTCCCAGGGGAAACCTTGAACCTGCCTGCACCTCTCTCTGCTGACGGAGTCAGTGGTCAGAGTTCCGCCTAATGCTCCCACTCTCCCCACCATACAAAGGACTTTGGGACCCAAAGGGCAGCTCCAGAACAGGGCTGGGCCAGAGCTGGGAAGGGGCACACCCCAGGCTGTCATGGTGGGGCCCAAGGACACAAGACCAAGACCTACCCAGACCGTAGTCAACGGAAACTACAATCTAGTGCACCAACCCTCAGCTCCCCCCCCAGCTTCTTCGATGGCTTTTCCCCACATACATAGAAGAGGTTCTGTCACACTGTGGCATATCCTCAGTGAGAGGAGAGCAGTTCGCCAAGCGCTCTCTTGGTTTCATGCTTGGGCGGTAGGCATCTGGGCACCAGGCCACTGCGCAGCACAGCCCGCCCTCACCTGTGTGTCGTCTTTGATGAGGCTGTGCCCTCCCTGAGCTAAAGCCTGACAGATGCATATTAGAGGGTTTAGTCCCTGCTCCCATAACGCATGTCTGGCTCAAGGCAGGCCTCCTGGGATATTCTGCTTCGAGGCTCAACACAGCTTTGGGACCCTGCCTGTGGCAAGTCTCTCAGGCCCCACTCCTGCTCGAGTGCTTGGCCTCCCCTGTGCCAGTGGAGGTGCCTCCTGCCATGGGGCCGCCGCCTCGCTGGCAAGAGCCCCCACAGCTGCTCCTCTCCCCGCACTCCCATGTGTCCCCTTTCACAACCTCCATCATTCCTCTAGCTCCTCCTGTGCCTCCAAGGGAAGAGAGCAAGGGGATGTGTCTGTGAGGAGTTAACACTGCAGGACATGGAAAAAGGGCTTCCCACCCTGCCCACAGGGGTCAGTGGGCCTGAGCTGAGCCCAAGCCCTCCCCCACCCAGCAGGCCAGCCTGCCCCAGAAGGCACCCAGTGGCCACAGGAGTGGTCCACAGCCTGAGTAAAAGTTGGGGGGTGGGCAGAGGACCCAGGAGAGGTCTGTAGCACAGGGTGATGAAGAGGGCGGCCAGAGAGTGGCTCTGGGAAGCATGAGTGGGGGCAGCCACACCGGTTGGGGTCAGAGGTTATCATTAGGCAGGGCTGGGACAAAAGGGACAGACCAGGAGACAGTGTCATGCAGAAGAGTGGGCTAAATCAATGCAGGAAGCTTCCTCAGGTGCTGACCTGGAACCTTCTCCAGAGTTTGGGAAGGGGCCTGGTGCCAGCAAACAATGCTACCATTAAGGAAGGCCGGGGGTTCCTGCTCATTCGCGTTCGCCTGCACACGCAGAGCCCAGCCCGTACCCCAGAAAGAGCCATAGAGTGGCACAGGGTGAAGAGGGCTCTGGGTGGGCAGTGGGGGGTTCTGTGCCCACCCATCACTGTTATCATTTGAGCCTCCTTCAAGGCGTAGGTTAAGATGATGACTAACACCAGGCTCGGTCTCTGGCGCTCAGCCTTCTTCCTGGGGGTGTCTGCTCCCTGGTTTGTCTGATTCTAAACCCTACTTTCTTTCCTTGGCCTAGGGACTGGGGACAAGCTGCCTGGCCAACTGATAAAAGTCAGGATCTGAGCCCCATGTATTCATGAGGCCAGCCTGGGCTTCATCTTTCTGGTCCCAGTCTTCCCCCTTCCCAGGACACTACCAGAGGCACAAGGATCTTGCTTCTATCATTTGGGAGAGAACGCGCTACTGGGCCAGGCTGCTCAGAACCTGTCTTTGCAGAAAAGAAGGGATCAGAGGGGCACTCAGGGAACGAGGCCACCTTCACCCAGTCTGCCTATCCAGATGCTGGGAAGCGCAGTGGCGCAGCAGGGCCACGAGGAACCCAGATGACTGACCTTGTGTCTGCCAGGACATGCCCTCCAGCTAGAGGGTGGGGCTGCAGCAGCCTTTCTGGAGAGCAGGTGAACAACTCCTTAAACAGCCAAAAATGGCTTCACCACCTCAGCAATGGCCCCTGCTTCGCTGCCTAGGGAAATGATCCCCCGGCCGCAGAAGATGACAGGCCTGGGACCGCCTGCACGTGGTGGGGCAGGCGGGGGTGGGGTGGGGGAGCCGGCAGGGAGGGCCGTGATTGTGTTACTACATACTGACCGAGTTCACAGACACATGGGGTGCTCACCTCAGGTGCCTGGGGCTGTGAACTCAGGGCGGCCCAGGCTCTGCCGAGAGCCTGGCCAGTCCACATGGCTCCACAGTGTCCCCGAGCCCCACGGAGGTTCTCCTGCTCAGTCCATGGCCCAGGCCAGCCTTGTACCCCTCACCCTGCTGCTGAGGCCCCGGATCTTTCAACTTCCATCTTCCCCACTGACTGTGTTACCTCGTTCCAGGACCTCATTCTGGCTCTTCCTGCCCACTGTTCTATGAACAGCCTCCCAGACCCTTTCTCCACAGGCTACGCAGGCCGCATGAGGCCCGCGGCAGTCCAGGTGCTGCCCTCCTCCCACCAGGCCATCCCTGCAGCTTTCCCAAGCCAGCGGGCCCTGGCTCCTAGCTCCTGGCTCAGTGTCTGCACCTGGAACTCGTGTCTCTCCCTGCGCACTGCCCCTCCTGCTGTGAGACTCAGCTCGGTCGAACCTGTGCCTCTAGCCCCCAGTGCTGGCCTGGCGCACAAAGACTTCAAGAGGCTCCAGGGCTGAGACCTCTGGGTCATTCACAGATGCCTGGGGCGAAAACATAGGGTGCAGAGGGGTTGAATGTGCAGAGTGAGCCAACGCAGGGGCACGCAGCGCAATGCGCTCCCCTCGGCACTATATGGAGCCCCTGGCCACAGGCCTGCCTCTCCGCACCTACCTGGGGCAACTGGCGGGGCTCCAAGGGAGTCAGGCACGAGGTCTGGTGGCCCGGCCCGGGGCCTGTCCCCAGAGGCTCTCTCCTTGTCCTTGTGCTTCTTGTACTTCTTCTTGGACTTGCCACGAGACGAGCTGCCGTGGGGTCTGCTGGGCTGGGCACAGTCCTTCAGCAGGGGCAGGCTGAGGCACGCAGTGGGGGCTGAGGTGGCCACTTCCCCACGATCACAGTCCCGGCCACTGTGGCCCAAGTCATTGCTGACATCAGCCAGAGGGTCGTGTGCCCTCGGAGGATCCAGCCGTGGAGGTAGGTGGGCATCTGTGCCAGTCAGTGGGCCCGGGGTGGGCAGCAGGGCCTCCCGGGCGTGGGGTGCACTTAACTTCCCATTGAGGGCCGGCTGAGCTCTCTGGGCGAAGTGCGATATCCTTGGTTTCTTGTTGGCCAGCGGGTCGATAAAATCAGAAGGCTGGGGCCGTTTCTGGGAAGGAAGAGAGGCCATTTTAGAGGGGAGCCTGTGTCTGAAGCGACTGGTGTCCCTGGGGGAGTGGGGAACAACTCAGCAGCAACAGGCCTACCTGAGCTAAGTGCGCAGGTGGGGCAGGCCCCAGGAAACCCAGTGCCCGCTGCAAGGCCTGCTCCAGCCACAGGGGCACGCAGATACCAGCCAGGCCCTTGGAGCCTGCCCCAAGGACACATGCAGGGGATGGAAGGGTGGCCAGGTCATCTGTGAACTGGCCCTACCACCTCCAGAGATTGGTTTGAAATGTCGCTGTGCTCAACATCTTCCCCAGACGACAGAAACGGTTGGTGAGCCAAGCCTGAGGGAAGCAGAGCAGCCCCACAGGCTGAGACCCCTCACCCTAAACCCCTGACTACTCTGATCTCAGGGCGACCTGGTGACATAGTCTGGGTCTCATCTCCATTTCACAGAGGCTTAGACTGGGGCATGTGAGGCAAGGCCAGATCACAGGAAGGGAGCCTGCACTGGCCCAGGTGGCCCCAACCCAGGGGGTGGCCGTAGGATGTATGTGAAACAAGGCCCCACAGTCGAGGTGTGTGCATGGCCCTAGTCTTTCCACAAGGAGGCCTCAGGGCTGTGGAGATGGGTAGAGTGTTCCAGGCCAGAGGAGGAGGGGTAGATGAGGGGGCGAGGGAAGGGGGAAGGGGGAAGGGGGAGGAGAGAGGAGAGGGGCCAGGATGTGGGACTCACAAGTCAGAGCACAAAGGTGGCTGGGGATAGCTTTTACCAAAAAAGCTCAAGCAATGATGAGAGGGGCTTAGCTAAAGGCCACCCCAGCCGGAGCGAGGTGAGCCGCACCTCCCCCCGCCCCCCGCCCCCCGCCGCCCTTCCTGACTACTGGCTACAATGGCGGCAGCCACCGCAGCTCACAGGGCCCCACTGGGTGCCGTTCGTCCTGCTAGCACACTGGATTTTACGGGATCCTCCACAGCCCTGAGAGGCAACAGAAGCACCTACAGACACAACATGAGGCTCAGAGCAGTCCAGTGCTTGTCCCTCCCTTAGCCACACCTCTGGAAGGTGTCCAAGGGAAGCGCACCCAGGTCCTGGGCCCTGGCCTCCAGACTAAGGGAAGCCAGGCAGCTGCTCACTTATTTAAGAAAATGTCCCAGCCCTGAGCCGAGGGCCCAACAGATTCCCCAAACATCAAGGCTGGGTCAGGCCCAGTGGCTCTGGGTGAGACCTGCTGTCTTGTTCCTCCACAAACATCAGCACCTCCTCTGTCATACCCACGTCCGCTGCTCCTACCTGCGGGGGTGAGACCGAGCTCCCGTGCTCTCTTGGAGGGCTGGTGGCTGCAGAGTCTCCGGGAAGGCCGCCTGCACTCTGCGGCTGGCACAGCTTCCTGCAAAGGGGAAGCAGGTTGGGTGGGGGCTTGCAGCAGTAACCCACAGGGCATACCCAGGCCCACCTGTCTCTGCAAAGACACCACACTGTCCCGCCTTCCCTGAGTGATTTGGGGATGGGCTGCTGCCCTGAACCAGAGGAGGGCGAGTGTGATGGGTATGTTAGGACCTGGGGGGCAGAGCTGCTAGGGCGCATCCCACCCTAGGTTTATCCACAGCTGCCCCGTGGCTGTTGGCCTCGCTGCCCAGAGGACTGCCCCACTGGGTGTCCTGTGCCCAGAGAAGGGTCAGCTGATGACCCACTCCTCTAGTCTCCTGTTACCATGGAGACCAGGAAATCACGCAGAATTGACCAAACTCTCAATGTCTGTACTGTTTCCCCATGGAAGCTGGGACACTGGGGTGGTGGCCCTCGGCTGTTGATCCTAATAATGATGTTCATTGTAGAAACTTTACAGAATGTAGAAGAGAACTAAGATGCCCTGGCCCGTGACAGGAAGGCCTCCTGGATTCAGCACCCGCCTTCCTGGGGGGCCCAGACTACTGTACCTCCTTGTGGATGAGAAGGGTGGCCACTGGCTCACCCGGACCTGAGCAAAACAATGCAGCCAGGGATAAAAGAAGAGACAGGCACCCCAACACTTAATGGGCAGAAAGAGGCCCTGATAGGGACCTGGTGCTATGTGTGGTGCCAGGGGCCTCCTCAGCCTGCAGGGAAGCTGAGGTCCAGGGGCTCAGAGGCCACATTTGTGCTGCTTCAACCAACGACAAGCAAGCCTGACTCTCTGACCAAGGCCCACACTCCAGACCACTGTTGCCCGTCCCCTGCATGTGGCCCACATGCAAGCAGAGTCACAGGAAAGGAACCCAAAACATGCAGAAGCTGCCTTGGCCGGTGTGCCTCAGTTAGTTGGAGCATTGTCCTGTGTCCCATAAACCGAAAGGTTGCAGGTATGATCCCAGGTTGGGGCGCATGCCTAGGTTGCAGGTTCAATCCCAGGCTGGGGTGTATGAGAGAGGCAACCAACTGATGTTTCTCTCTCATTGATGGTTCTCTTCCTTTCTCTCTCTCCCTCCCTTCCCCTTTCTCTAAAATCAATAAGCATGTCCTCAGGTGGGGATAAAAAAAACCCCAAAAAACCACACATGCAGGAGCTCACTAGGCAACATGGTCCCAATGGCCAAGGTGGGGCAGGTTTGCTGTCCAGCCACAGGGAAGCCACCAGAGCTCTGGTTAAAGACTGAAAACCAAGGACTGGCATTTTTTGTTCGCTCTCTTTCAAGTCCCTCACTAAAAGGACATGAAGAAGAAAGAAAACAAGAGAACAACATTTAACACTAAAGCAATACAGGTGGTGACTGTCCCATAGGATCCTGAAGCCTGTGGGTCGGAGCCTCTGGGACCTCCAAGGAGGAGCTCCAGCCAGGCTGTTCCTGTGCAGCCCTGCCATGGGACCTGGTCTGCTGCAGAGTCCACGGCATATCCAGGAGAGAAGGAACCCAGGACTTCTCCCGGTGCTGGCAGGCTGCTCAGGCCACACCTGGACAATAGGAGGAACAGACGTGTGGCTTTGGGAGAAGAGAAAACAGAGAGACCCTTGGGAGGAGTCAGAGCCGCCAGGAAGGAGTCCTGAGGAGGGCGGGGCTTCTGGGCAATGAACGCCAGTCTCCAAAAGAGAAAAATACATTAAAAAAAAGGAGAGACTGAGGGCATGAAAACTTCAACTCAACAACAAAAACGCCTGTTTTTTCTTCAGAAAGTCAAAAGACTTGAACAGACATTTCTCCAAAGAAGATCTACAAATGGTCAGTTAGCACAGGACTAGGCACTCAACACTGTTCTTCATCAGGGAAACGCAAATCAAAACCACAAAGAAATGCTACCTCACACCTATTACACTAAAAAAAAAAACAAAACAAAACAACAAACCAAAACCAAAAATAGAGAAGTGTTGGCGAGAATAAAAAGAAATTGGAAGTCCTGTGCACTGTGGGTGGGAATGTAAAATGGTGCGGTCACTAAGGAAGAGTTTAGTGGTATTTCAAAAAGTTAATCACAGAATTACCATAAGGCAGCGAGGCCCGGCCAGGCAGCTCAGTTGGTTAGAGCATCGTCCTTATATATCAAGGCTGCAGGTTAGATCCCAGGTCAGGGCACACACAAGAACCAACCAATGAATGCATAAATAAGTGGAATAAGAAATTGATGTTTCTCTCTCTCTCTCAAATAAATAAATACTTTTTAAAAGCTTAAAAAAATGGTAAGTGTTTGAGAGAACTGAAAATCCACATTCACACAAATCCCTGGACACAAATGCTCATAGCAGCACAATCACACCAAGAGGTGGAAACAACCTGGGTATCCACTGACAGATGAATTAATAAACAAAATGTGGCCCATCCACATAATAGATTATTTGGCCATAAAAGGGAATGAAGCACTGACACACACTAAAACCTGGATGAACCTTAAAAAATTACAATACATAAAAGCCAGGCACAAAAGGCCATGTGGTATATGATCCCATTTATATGAAATGTCCAGAACAGGCAAATCCATAGTGACAGAAAACAAATTAGTGGTTGCCAGGGGTTGAGGGAGCGCGATAGGGGAATGACTGCTAATGAGGACGTAGTCTCCTTTGGGGTGATGGAAATGTCCTGGAATTAGACAGACGCGATGGCTGCCCAACACTGTGAATCGACTAAATACCAATAAGTCATACACTTTAAATGAGTGATTTGTGTTAAGTGAATCATATCTCAATAAACTTATTTAAAAAAAATCCTTAAAAGTAAAAATGGCATCACTGCCACTGATAAAAACACTATGCTACAAAAAGACAACAGGAAGAACTCTTGGGAACAAGAAATGATGGCCAAAAAGACAGGACGGGAGAAGCCAAATAAATCTCCTAAAAGGAAAAAAAAGAGAATAGACAACAGGGAAGACAATGGGAAGAGCTGAAGAGCATACTGCCCCAGTGGCAGATTTAGAGGAAGCATGAGGAAGGACAGGGCGAGTTTTCAGACTTTGAGGGCCACAATGCCCCCCTCCCCGCCAGATCACCTATGAGGCTGTCCACGTGGGTGTGCACAGGGCCGGGTGGGGAACCTCTGAGCACTGTTTCCCCCCATCCAAACACACGTACCTGTGCACACACACTTGTATGCAAACATGCACATGGGCTACTTGCTCTCAGCCATGCCCCTTCCTGGGAGCTCAGTGAGGACAAGGCCCTGGGGTCTAGAAACACAGGCACCTGGTGAGAGACTCTGAAGGAAAGACAGACAGGAGCGGCCCTGCTGGCCCCTAAGTGCCCCTTGCCACCTCAAAGCAGCTGGGTGGGGGTAATCAGCCATTTCAACACTGGACCTTTTACCAAAAATTCTATGATGAATGAAAACACCTGCAGGAGGGGACAGTGACAACGTGACATGTTTAGCTGAGGCAACAGGAGACCACCAGAAAGGGCAAATGGGAGAGGGCGTCTCTTCTACAGAGATGGTCCTTCTCAGCTCCCCAGGGCCTAGAGACCTTGGACAGCCAGAGCAGGGGACAGCGCTGAGAAGCGTGGGGTTCACCTAGAGTGGCCCTGACTCAGTTCTGCTTTCCAGATGCAATTACTGCTTAAAAGAGCTGAACTTAAACACACACACACACACACACACACACACACACACACAAAACACCCTTCATAAAGAGCTCCAAGTCATAATGCACATTTTGCCCAAATTTTTAGGGGAAAATAAGGATGCAGATTATACATGGGTAGTACCTAAAATACCTTGTATCTTGTGTTTTGTAATTATTTGTTACATAAAATTCCCTGCATCATGTTAAAAAATGAAAGCTAAAGTTCCTTTATAATACAAATAATAAGTATCTAAATATAAATAAGTATTTTAAAAAATTAAAACAAAAGATTTTTTTCCTTAAAGTTTGGGCCAAAAACATGGATGCGCATTATACACAGCACAATACGGGTAATCGCCAATCCGCCAGCTCCCAGGCTGGGCATCAATCAAGAAGTAATCAGTCCCGGGCCATTACTCACTCCTCCCAGAGCCCCCTAGGCCACCACTGACCTCTGGTTCCAATTAACCCTAGAGGGGATGTGTTCAGTTAACCTACTTAGTCACGTCTGTGGGGAGTTTTCTTTAACTTTCTCTACTTCACATTCTCGGATGGTTCTGAGGAGGAGGTGTCTTCTAAGCAGAAGCCCTTGGGGACTCACAGATTCTGAGAAGCAGCTTCATGGGAAGGGAGGGGGGCAGTGGAAACAGTCTGGGTGGACTGAGGCCTTTGTCAGGCACTATGGTATTAGAGAGCAACACATGCCTTCTATCTGACACATCGGGAGCTGGCCTTTCCCCCAACGGGCGGCCAAGATGGGCTGCCCAGGCGGTGGGAAGGAGGGCCAGAGAGTTCCCGCGGACCCTTCCACCTGGTGCTTGGCCCTGAGGCCTTTGGCACTAGGGGAGGCCACGCCGGCACTCTGGGGATGAGATCTGTGCCAGGCCTGGGGAAGTGGCCTTACCTGACAAGCATGCGCTTCAGTAGCTGCTGGTCCCCCTCTGAGTAGCCGGGCCAATCCTTCTGCACATCCTTGTACACACAGTCCTTCAGTGTGCACGTGCCGTCCTTGGCATTCACGTTGGCCACCTGCAACACAGAGCCAGCGTCACCTGGTGGGAAGCCTGAAGGGTAGGGGACATGGAGAAAACACGCAGACCTGGAAGGGAAGAGGATAGCACCCCACACCGAGCTCTTCTGCACTAGGTCCAGACACACACACCTTACAGCTGCTAGGGGCCAGAATGGCTCCAAAACAGGGGGCTGCCACCAGCTTACCCCCTGCTATGGACTGAATGTGTATATCCACCCAAAATTCATGTTACGGTATGTGATAGTATTTGGAGGTGGAGCCTCTGGGAGATGATTAGGTCCTACGAATGAGCCCTCATGAATGGGATTAATCTCTTTATAAAAGCTCCAGAAAGCTCCCTCACCCCTTCTGCCATGTGAGGGCACAGTGTGGAGATGCTGTCTATGAACCAGGAAGGAGGCCTTTGCCAGCCACCCAATCTGCCGGCACCTTGGTCTTGAACATCCAGCCTCTAGAACTGTGAGAAGTAAATGCCTGTTGTTTGAGCTACCCAGTCCATGTGACTGTCACAGCAGCTTGAATGCTTGAATGGATGAAGACACCCCACTAGGACTTGCAGCTCCTAGAACAGAGTAGGCTGAGGCTGGGGATGCCAGGAGAGGGGGGCATCCAGGGACTGGACTGAGCCAACCTTCTGTGTAACAGCCAGCTCTGCTCCCACTGGTTAACAATGGCTGAGTTGGTCTCCAAGGTGGTTTTCAAACATCTGCCTTAGGGTGCTTGAAGTTGTGAAGGCCACTCCCCTAAAGCTGGCACTTCTGTGACTGTCTCACTGGGTAAAGCTGGGCACCCTGGTCTCCTGCACACGCATGTTGCTATTTCTCCCTATTGCTGGGTTCTAAGAGGACTCCACGTCAGTGATTCCTACAAAGAACGTTTTTAACAGTTGAGTAATATTCCATCAAATGGCCACACTGTGATTCATTCAAATGTTTTTCCTTTGTTGGACACTGACGTGCTTCTAGTTTCTCGGTAGCAGAAACAGACGTCACTGTGTGCAGGCTCTTTCATGCAGGCAATGTTTTGTCTTCGGCCAGCTTCCCAGAAGTGGGGTTAGTCAGTCAAAAGCTCTGAACATTTTTATAGCTTTTGATACACTTTGCTTAATGCTCTCCAGAAGGGCATCCCATCCCTCAACACTCCCACCCAAGAGGACAGCCTATGGGTTTCTGAGGCCCAGCTAGCACCAGAGACAGATGCCTTCAATCTCTGCTTTCCACGTTCCCACAGGAGAGAGAAGGCTCCATTGAGGAGCGCAATTTCGTCAGTGCTGCTCACGCAGGGTGCTGGGGCGGAGGGGCGGCTGACCAGCCTGGGCGAGGTACCGCCCACAGGACTCCCAGAGACCTTCCCCTTCCCCAAGCTGACAGGGTCCTGCTGCCTCCCCGCTGTCACTGGGAAGAACTAGCTGGGGAATGAACACAGACACATGTGGCAGACGGGCCCATTCAGGAGGAACCGGAGCAGGACGCTGCCTGCAGATGATGGCTGGGCTGCCTCCAGGAGGCTGCCAACCCAGGCTGAGCAGGGAAGCCAGAGCCCAGCATGGTGCCTCTCTGGTTCCAGAAGGGCCTGGAGCAACGAGAGCATCTGGGGATTAGAAAACAGAGCAGGTGCTCCAGGCAGGTCCTCATCAGCACCTCCAGACCCATCTCTCCAGAAGATGGAGCTTGGCATCCTGCCGTGTCTGAGAGCTGCGCTGAGGGTAAACCTCAGGTGCAACCGTGTGCTCAATCAGCTAAAGCTTCACATTCTGCCTTTGAAGGGCTCGCGTGTTTCTTCTTCATTCCAGGCAAGAGGGGCGGGCAGGAGCGCGGGCATTCCTAGGAACACCACCCGAGAGGTGGAGGGCACAGGCGGACGGCAGTGAGGGCTGTAGGCATGTCCACAGGCAGGCGTGGGTCCCACCCGTGTCTTCAGTCCTGACTCACATCTGACAACCGTCAAACTCCGCTGCCTTCCGCCACGCTACAGAAAAAGGGGGCAGGCCTGCTGTACGCATCCCTTTAACTCCCAGGACAAGGCCAACACATTTGACCATCTAAGGAACTGAGTCCCCTGGGAAGGCTGTTCCTGGTTCTGGGGCTTTCTGGATTCTTTGGCAAGCTTCCATGCCAATCCTGAACCCTCAGGAAGAAAAACCACTGCTTGGTTTCTGCCAGCATCACCCATGATCTGGGGATGGCACCTCAGGAGGCCAAATCCCCAGAGAGTTGCCCAGTGAGTGCACATGGGAGCCCCTGACGCCCTGGTGATGTGAGGTGTCAGCAAGTACCAAGGCCCTGGGACACAGGAGATGTCTTCCTAGGCAAAGGGTGGGGAGGCACCTGCCCATGGGACCTCAGCGACCATGGCTGGGCCTGGGCACCAGCCCAGATCTGCAACCATGCATGGACTGAAGCTTCATCTTTTACAACAGGGAAAGATCACAGAGGCCTCTTCTCCCTACCCTTGTCCTTCGCCATGAACTGCCTGGGGCGTAAGGGTAATGAGGGACCCGAGCCAGAGCACAGGTGCTGACGTCCTCCTACTAAACACTTCGGGCTGCACTGAGAAAGGGGAAACGAACACGTGGAGGCCCGCTGAAGAATTCAGCAAACGTGGAAATTCATCCTCAGGCATAGCTACCATCTCGGTGTGGGCCTTCTGCCACAGGAGGTGCTGGCCGAGTGCCCAGAGTTTCGGAGGCGGAAAGCAGGAAGGACAGGTGAGCTGGCAGAGGGAAGCCCGGAGAGGCCTGACTGAGCCTTCTCCTCGGGTCGCTGGCAGGCCTGTCCTCACAGCAGCACAGTGAAGCAGCATGTGCATGGCCTGGCTGATGTGGTGAAGCCAGAGCAAGCCACTCGCTCACCTCCCAGGTCCTCTAGCTGCCTCTTAGAGCCCTGAGGGCATCCAGAGCAGGGACTCGGGGAGGTGGCTGTGCTCCCTGCACCTGCTCCAAAGCACAGCTGTTTTCAGTAGCAGGCTCCGCCTGCCAGCACCCAGGTTCCTGCCAGGTAAGCCCTAGTCCCCACAAGAGGTGCTGCAGTCATGTCCCAGCCACACATGGAAACTGGAGGGTTTAGAAGTGAAGAGTCCTGCCAAGAGCCACAGCTGGTGAATGGCAGGGAGGCCCACCTAACTGCTGAGCCCTGGTTCTTGCTAACTAACAAGGGTGCATACCTGGTTTCACTCAATTCTAAAACACTCATGCAACTGGAGTCTTGGATCTCTTGTGCAATGCCTGCCACCTATGTGCTAGCAGATGTCACAGAGCACAGCGCTAGTGTCTCTCTGAGCTGACCCATAAGCCCGCAGACAGTAAATGCCACGCTCCCGGCCCACTGTGTGTCCAGACCATCTGCAGAAGGTGCTCATAGGCTGGCTGGACCCCACCCCACCCCAGCCAGCCCTGGGTAAGCATGCACCTGCTGGAGGAGGCTGTCCAGCGTGTCCTTGTCTGCCTGGGCCAGGCCATCCTTCTGTAGCCGCAGCAGCAGTTCTGCCTTCCGGTAGGGCCTCAGTGCCAGAAGATGCAGCACCCGGTCACGGAAAGGCCTCTGAGACACCCCACCACCCCCGCTAACACCACTCTTCTTGATGGCACTTGCCAGGTTGATGGGGGTTGCCCGCTTCCGGGAGGGCACGGCATCTGTCGCCCCTGGGGCTGGTTTCCTAAACTGAACCTTCTTGCCTACAACGAGAACCAGGGTGTTAAATTAAGGATCGGAGGAGGGGAGTGGGTGACCATGGGGTCCCAGTGTCTGGTGCTGATGCCAAGTTCCTGAGTGTGGAAAGCGATGGCCAGCACCACCAACTTCTGCCAAGCCAGCATGTCCCAGCGAGCCTGCCTGGTGGGGAGCCAGAGTGGCCGAGAGCGCCACCTGCTGACCACATACAGTTCACTGGGCACCTCCAGGCTCAGAAGTGAGAGCGGCAGAAGAGCATGTTTAGGGCCATAACTGACTTCATCATGGGCAACCTAAATCCTGGGGACCAAAAACACTGACCACCACAGGGAGAGGGGGCTGGTCCAGGAGCCCTCTTGATGTTAAATGGGGGGCGGGGGATGGCGTGACTTGCCAAGGGCCCCACGGGATCCACCATTCTCTTTTGTAAGAAAGAAGGGAATAAAGATGTCAGCCATTTGGGCAGCTCCTCTGGAGAACCTGGGATGTTAGCAGATCCCCAGCTGCACCTCCAAGTGCCTGTTCCTCAGGCAGATGTGGTGGTGCCTGGCAGCAGCGGGCCGCTCCCCATCCTTCTGGTACAGACTATGGGGTCCAGCATGGCTGCCGCCTCCACTGAGCCAGTAAGCACCGCTCTCAAGGAAGGAAGTCATTACCTCCATTCAGGACAGAGCGCCGATACCGAGGCAATGTGGATGGCTGAGTGAGGGCAGTGCACGCCCCAAACCCGTGGCCCAAAAAACTCTCCATGATGCCTTCTTTTTGCTCTTATCCCTCAAATCTGATTTGTCAGGTTAACACAGGAAGGTGTTTCTTGAATCCTCAGGACCTGACTCCATCCCTAGAGAACCCAGCTGACAGGCTGACATGGGGAGGGGAAAGACCAGGCCCAGCCAGAGGTGCCTGTCAGCATCTAAGAGGCCAGATGAGTGTTTCCATCAAAGCGTAAAGGGCTGCAAAAACCCTCACTGCATATACAAAGTAGTCCAATAAGACAAAGCTTGACCAAGTTTTTGGCCAAGGACCCAGAAATGTACTAAGATTTGTATGAATTTCTATGTTTGCATCTGGAGGCAAAAGAAAGTAGGTGAAGCATTTTTGGTTCTGGCCCCAGCGGCTGGCGACCCTGTCCACTGGGACTCAGCACTGACTGACAGGGATTTCATTCAGAGCCAACCCCACAGCCAAGCAAAGGAAACCAGGCTTTCTTTGGGGAGGGGTTTTTGACACCTTCCTGCCATTTGTTAAAAAAGAAAAACCTCACAAAGCCACTGAGGTCCTTGTTTACTGTAGGCTGGTTCATGCCTCTCCAGCCTAATGCTTCTCTTCCCCCGGCAATAAATTCTTTTAACTCCTCAACTCTGCCTCTGTCCAGGAGGTGAAAAGGCTGCAGCTAGATGATGAGCTTTCTGAACAAACTGTACTTTTCTCTCAACTTTTAAGGTTGTCAGTGTCTTAATTTCACCAAAAGTATTTCCGAGCAGATGCTGAGCTGCTGGAGCCTACTGGGCTAGCAGGGGTCACGGCCTTTCCCTCCCGGTCTCAGCCTCATGGCCCCTCGCCAGCCCCAGCACAGCAGCAGGCCGCTGTGGGGTGCATCTGGCAGTTGGCAGCAGGCTGGCCATCTCGGCCTTGGTGAGGAGTCATCTGGGCAGATGAGACAGGGTGGTGGCCTGAGAAAATATGGCCACCCTGTCTTCACGGAGCACGTCTGAGTCCCTGATGGGTAAAGGCCCTTGAGGCTGCAGCCTGGGAGAGAGGCCGAAATTCAAATTCCTCCAGTTCTTGGGCCCTGAGTCCACCGGGGTGTTCGGAGGCAGCAAACAGCATAGCCCCACCTGACTCAGCAGAGCCTTCTTTCTGACCTGACATGGGCTTGGCTAGTCCTGCTCAGGGGCTGGGCCACACACCTCTGTCACCCGTCACTCCTGCTCCTGGCACGGATGGGCCCTGAATGCCTCCTGCTCTCCCAACAGTTGCCTAGCAGGCAATAGCCCCCAGGGTGGAGCCCCTCCGGTTGGAGCCCAGGTCCCCTTCCTCACCTAGGTAGCGGCCTCCGGCCTTGATGACGATGGCACCCCGGCTCCGCGTCTCCTCCTCGGCCTGTGCCATGCTCTGCCGCGCCTTCTGGTAGGAGTCATCGGTGGCACACACTGTGATTTTGTCTTGGATGCTACCCAAGCAGTCCAGGTGTACGTCCCCATGGCTGTAAGACAAGGGGCCAGGAGCCAAGATGAGTACCTGGGAGACAGGAAGATATGGTCTTGGGGCCCAAACCCCCACCCTGACCATCCCCTGCCAGGAAATGGGGCTCAGCACTGATGGAGCCACCTGGTTTCCACAAGGTACATCTTGACCAAGAAGAAACAAGGGGACCTAGGCCCCTGGGTCACAGGCACAACGCCAGCACCTACACCCTAGGACACACTGGAAGGAGTCAGAGGGGCTCATCTGAGAGAAGGGGACATGGGGCCAGAAGCGGTGGGCAAACACCTGCACAGTGGTCTGAGCTGGGGGAAGGGGCTCAGGGCAGAGGCGGGGAGGCAGGGCCGGTGCTCTGGGCCTCACCTGGAGACGTACTGCTGGATGCAGTCGAAGCTGCCCTGGGGGCTGTCACGGCCAATGTTGGAGAGGTAGAAGGAGAAGGTCCGAGCCTCTGAGGGGCAGTCAGGCTGGGGGATGGAGATGTGCTGCAGAGATTGGGGGAGTAGTGTCACCAAGAGTCCACAAGAGTCCAAAGTATGGAGGAGACTGTGGCACAGGTCAGCTGCTGGACCCTGCCCGTCCACACACTGTGACCCTTATGGCAAGAAGATGCCAGCACTTTCCTTCAAAACATACCTCTGCTTTCCTGGCAGTGACAGGACCCAAGGGAGTACAGAACACTCGACATGCACCCGGCAGCAAGGACCCCACCCAGATGTGGGCCATGGCTCAGTTTCCCCACCCACCAAACAGGGCATCCTTAAAGGTGAAATGAAACAAGGTGGGTGTCAGAAGCTAGCAGGGCACGCTGGACAGTCAAGATGCTCTGCCCCTCGCTCCCACTTAATGACTTCCTCCCACCTCCTCCATGGGAATACAGATTCCGCTTGAGTGTCTGTCTACTGCCCTGTGACAATGAGCAAGGTTTCTGAAGGTCACAAGGGAGACTCAAGCACAGCCGGGTGCACATTTGCACACAGCTACCCAGAACATGCAGAAAGCTCATGCACCGGTCAGCATAATGAAAAGGAGTTTCCGGGGAACCTGAGCTCAATATGGGTAGCTTCCCCGTGCTCGTTCTGATCCTCTCCCTAACCCAGTCCTGGTCTGGGAGGACCTGGTCTCCTCAGGCAGCATCTGTCTGTCTCAGCTCAGGAGGCAGTGGCTACAGAGATTGTCAGTCCCCACTGGGCTGTAACCCCTAAAGAGATGGGGATCCAGCCTGAGCCCCAAGGCTCTCGTGGCTCTGGGTACTTCCCACCCTACCTACCCCACCCATCAGCTTGTGCAGCCCCACCCAGGCAGGCAGGTGGGAAGAATGCACACTGGCTCCAGCTGCAAAACAGAACACTGCTACTGTGCAGCCACCATCATGACAAGCACATCCCACACTGGATCAAGACAAAGGGGACGCCTGCCTGAGTGCACAGGTGTAGGAAGCCCCCTTGTGACAGCTCCGGGACACCCCCTGCAGCCTGGCGGAGAGTTGATGGTAGGGCCATGCCATGTGCCTAGAGGCCCACTCACCACGCTGCAGATGCCCTACCCAAGCCTGTGTAGGGAGCAGCCACCATGCGCCCCCCTGGGCAGGGGGTGAGGGACTCTTCACTGTGGCCCTTTCACCCTGTGTAGGCCTTTTCCACTCAGGCACATATGCCCACTTCCAAAATTCATTCCAGGGGAGGGAAGGGCCCAGCACAGAGCCAGAGGCCAGTCTGTGCAGGGCAGTGGGCAACACGGGGCTTGAAACCAATGTTCAGGAGAGCATGGTCCTGCTAGTGACGGGGGAAACCACATGCACAGAGGGAGCTTGTGACCAGTGCCCTCAGAACAGTGGGCGTAGGGGGGCACACAGATATGCTGGGAGCCCGACCCCAGCCCCATAGCACCACTACTATGGAATCCTTTGGCTAATGGGTTGTTGCCAGTTAATAATTCCCAGTCTCTGGGAAGCAGCCAGCTGGCACAGACAGCCCAGCAATGCGAAGCTGTCCCTGCCAAAGGAGATTATGCCATGTGTGCCAGGACATGGCCTGAAATGCAGCAGCCACGAGTGTGCCCTCTGGACGAAGTCTCAGCTGCCCCCCACCCCAGGGCTACTATGTGGCTACATCTGATGGCAGCACCGACACGAGGTTATGGGGGTGGGGGCAAGTGTCTGTGACGAACTGGAGCAATAAACACACTCATCCCATCCCAGATGTCTTGAGTACCTCTGAGGCCTGAGGCCTGAAGGAGGCACTGGCTCTACTGCAGTGGTCAGTGGGGTCCTGGCCAAAAGGCTTTCACCTCCTCCTCCCTTTGAAATCTGCCCCAAGCCAGCCATTGCCACTGTCCCCCCACCGCCCAGGTCCTCATGTGCAGTACAGGTGGGAGCTCGGGACAAATCAAGTCCCAGCTGGGGGTGGGAGCAACATGGCGGGGGACAGCACTAGATGTCCAGGCAAAAAGAAGAAACAGGTGGACATGGGAGCCAAACACCACTGACCAGGTCCTCTCTGACCAGAGGGGTTCCCAGGGACCATCAGTTTGCTTCATTATTTCCATTCCCAGGGGACCGCTGTGGGGAAGGAGAATCACTACTGTGGCTGAACACGCCTTCTAGGAGCAAAGCAGCCTTTTTTGCTGGCATGGCAGGAGGCCTCACTTCCCCAGCCACATACCCAAGGCTCTTTCTAAGCACCTTCCTCTCTTCCCTCTTCATGGGTCTCAGAAGAGCAATGGCCCGCCCTTGCCTCCCCTCCCCAGGCTCCTGGGGTCTTGGCTGCTCAACCTTGGTGTATGGTGTCCCCACACTCCAAAACCCCCATTCTATAGATACTTTTTAGATATTGCCAAATAGTCCCTGTTACCACTGACACAATAACAGGCACCTTGTGGCTCAACCTGGAGCACATCCTATAACAGGCATGGTTCCTAGACTCACAGACATTGGCCAAAGGCCTGTGACCAGCCCTGTCAGACCTTGTTCTCAAAACTGACATCACAGCCCAGGGAAATGTCAAGGCCCTGAACAGCCCCAGACAAAACCCTACCTCTCCTTTTCCCAATCGAAGAGCTCTGGAGTGGGGTTGGCTATGTGGGGGTGGCTTCACCCGCACTCAGGGGTTAACAACTCAGAAGCGACCTCCTGATAGTAGAAGGCTAGTCAGCTGGCTCAGTGCTCCTGAGAGCGCAGAAAACACAGATGCAAACATGTACCCAGCAAATGGACAGGTGAGTGTTTTGCTCCAGCAGACACAGCTCTGGAGGCTGGATACATTCAGGTGCTGCCTAGCTCTCCAGGGAATGTAGTGAAGGCGGTAAAGCGCACAGGGTGACTGTGGCCACCAGAGGGCGCCATGGGGCCAGTCTGGCTGCAAGCCCAGACCTGCCCTGCCAACCCGGGAGGCGGGGCCGCGGGCGGGGGAATGTCCCAAGGAACCAGTCAACAAGCAGCCCAGCTGCACACTTCTACAGTCTGGAACTAGTGGCGCTCCCAGCCTAGGCTGGGAGGTGGCCGCGATGAGACTAACACCCACCAAGGAGGTGTGCTGATGCCGTGACCCTATGCCAGCTGCACCACATTCACATCTGAGGGGGAAGAGCACCAGGAGCTGAGTGAGCTCATCCTGGGCTGTAGGGAGCACACTGGATCTCCTAACGCCATGTAATCTGCACACAACCCTCTAAGTGGACAAGGTCCCCACCTGGTGGTGGGTGAGGAGGCTGAGGGACAGAGGAAGAACTGGCTAAGGTCCCGGAGCTAAGGAGCCTACAGATAGGGTCTCAGTCCTCCGTCTGTCAGCTTCATGGGTCTGTAGGGATCAGGTCCCTGAACATCAAATCAGCCAGGCCCTTAATGAGCATGTTCTCTCCAGCTCCACTGCCCTCCTGCTCCTTCATCCACACCCCACCTCCCGCTAACCTTTCAGGTGCTGTGCACAGAGCAAAACCCTGTCCTTACTTCTGGGGAACACCCAGGCCCAGTTGGGCACATGCAACAGAAAGACCAGGAGAAGTGGGAGGGGAGAGCCGAGACGCCCTGCCTCCTCCCTGCCAGTCTGAGTGACCATGAACGCGCAGCCTGGCACCAGACCAGGCCCATCACTCCTGACAGGGAGGAAGGGGACACGTCCCATCGATGCCTGGAGGCAGAGGACATACAGATGTCAGGGAGGCGGATCCAGCACCTGAATCGAGGCAGCAAGCTGTGGAAGAACAGCACCCCCCGGCAGACAGCCCATCCCAGCCCTCACACAGGCTCACACGGGGAAGAGCCTTCTGGTGAAGAATCGTGGCCTGGCCTGCCTGGAGCTGCAGCTCAGCACCTCCACCCTGAAATCTTCTAGAAACTCCATTAGACAAAAGAAAGCCCGGAAGGAAGAAAAAGAGGGCAAAGCATGATTCTAAAACCTAAGATGGTGGGACCCTCACATCTGGAATGAATGTGGCTCTCAGACTTCCCACAGGAATTGGGGAGACATAGGCGGGCACAGCCCAGGAGAACCTCATGAAGCATCTGTGAGTGGACATGTGGGGTCTTGCTGAAAAGTGAACACTGACCACAGCGGCCCTTTACGTGCACTGGCTTCTTCTTTCCACAGCTGCTGAGGGCACAGGGTGACCATGGCCGCCGGCGGGTACCATGGGGCCAGTCTGGCAGCAAGCCCAAGTCAGCCCAAGACAGCCCTGCCAACACCCCAGAAATGTCCCAAGGAAAATAAAGAAAGGTGGCAAAAGGCTGACCACAAGACTCCGTTGGGGCCAATGGAAGCACAGATGCTCCTGAGAAGACACAGGGGCATGGGGGTTATCTGGGCCTTTCGGGGTGTCTTGCCAACCTTGGATGGTATTGATGCGATGGTCAGTTTGTGTGTTCCCTGGCCAGGCCACAGCTCCTGGGACACCACAGCACTAATCTGGATGTGTGTGGAGGTGTTGTACAGACACTGACATCCATGACCAGCTCACTTTAAGTAAAAGAGAGGACCTTCAACGGTCTGGGTGGGCCTCTCCTAATCAGCTGACGGTTTTAAGAGGGAAACGCTGGTCTCTGAGAAGAAACCCCCCGTGGATTGTGGCACCGGCTCCTGCGTGCCCCATGAGCATGTCTACGTATCCCTGCATCTGCACACCCAGACGCGCATTTCCTAGAGGTTCCCTCTCTGGAACACCGTGGTTGGCCAAAACCCACAGCTGGCCCTCGGGTGGCAACTGACTTAAACACGTGGCAACTCTTCATAAAAACAAAAGATCTGCAATAAAGACTACAAGAAAACTAATGTTCCAATGGGTGTTTGGCAGGTGGGAGGTACTGGGGGGGCGGTCCTAAGGCTAGAGGGAAAGGATTATGAACAATTCGCCCGTTCTTTCATTCCCTGATTTTTCTCTTAACATAGTCATTTGGAATAAAGTACATTTCAGAATAAAATGAGGGCACTGAGTTTCTATTATCCCCTCAGCCAGTACCAAAAAACAGACAAACACCCATGATCTTGGGTCCACAGAGGGAAATGAGTGCCTACCCAAGAGAGGACACTGCCTGGGGTCTGGACCACGGCACTGAATTAGTGCAGAGATCAAGTCAGAACAGGGGTTGGGGGCCTGAGAGCCAGGTACGAGTCCGCTACAGGGGCCCCGGACCAGCCTGGGCGCATCTAGAGGCGGAGCCCAGCCTGGTACGGGGACTGGCCTGGAACGGAGGTGGAGGGGGCCAATCGCTGCACCCAACTACTGCTGTGCCCAGCGAGTCATGACAGGCCCCAGCCTGCACCAGTCCCACAACTCTGAATGTGAGTAACACAAAAACAACTCACCCCTTGGCTTCCTTGAAATCGAATTGATGGTCTCAGTGAAACAGAATCCTGCAAAAAAGCAAAAGAGGAAAACGCTAAATAAAGATAGCTGGAAATGTAGAGCCTAGTTTCCGGTTATCTAAGGAGCAGGGTAACGACCACGCATTCAGGAAAGGTGAGAGAAAACACATGTCTGAAAACCACAGGGAGGGTCACCCAAGCCGGGTTTTGAAGGATCAGTAGGAGTTCCCTGAATGGCACTGGGGCTCAGGGGACATGAGTCTCAAGAGTGGAGACAGAGGCAGTGGGCAGCCCCTCGCTGGTCTCCTAAAACCATCATCAGGTCAGGCCAGCCTTCCTCACAGACACCGCCTTCAAGTGGAAATCGGAGTGGGTGAGCACCGCTGGCCAGGAGGCAGGCTGGCGAGGGGGCTCTGGCCCCCGCACCACTGGCAGGATGAAGCCCGACGCCTGCCTAGCTCCAATGTCACAGTCTCAGAGCAGTTTGTCACTGTGCTTGGGGTGGCAGAATTTCCAAATGTCATAAAAATATATATAGTAAAAAAACTCAAAAGAAGTACTTAAAAAGCTCAGCTATTCAGAGATCAGCCTTCTGGCAGAATTTCGAAAAGAATGTGGATCAGAAAAGAATGTGTAGCAGATACCACCCCACAGTGTGGTCCTGGCTTGTACCATGACCCCCTTCCTCCCCCCCCAAACCCCCAGGGCCCAAATCCACCTCTGTGCCAGCTGTCCCCTGCCCACCCACCCTGCCCTCCTCCACATGGCAGCAGGGGGCTGTGTTCTCCCACCTCCACCAGAGCCCACCGCTCTGGCCTCCACCCTGCCTCACTTAAGAGTGAGGGAGACTCTCCACCCCTGCGCCCCCCCACAGTACCTCCCTGAGTGGATGCCTGTCAGATTCCCCCTCCAGAATGGGAGGCCCATGGCAGGCCCTGGGGAGATGGGGTAGTGCAGCGGCTCCACCCTCGTGGGGAGAACCAACCAGCAGGCAGGCCAAGACTTAACAGGTGGCTGACCTCTTGGGGCCCGTGGGCTAATGGCTGTGGGCATGTGACGGAGACAGCTCAGTCAGCCAGGATATGAGGGCCATACATACATCATTTGTTTACCAGGAACCCCCTCTTTTGCCAAGTATCTCAAAGGGCTCTGCTGTCTGAAGCAGACCTGTGGGGTCACTCTATGCACTAGCACTTACCCCATGGGATCTGACACCCCACAAACCACCCCACACTTCCAAATCCATCCCCCCATACTGGGCTAACAGAAAGGGACATCCTCCAGGCCCTTGTCCTGCTCCAGGACTGGGAAGCAGCCTGTGCAGGCACACAGGCCCTGGGACTGTTAAGACCTGGGCAGGCTCCTTCCAAAGCAGACTCAGGCCCAGCCGACCCAACCCACGACCATGACCTGACCTGATCCCTGCCTGGGCTGCAGGTCAGAAAATGAGGAGCGCAGCACCAGTGGGGGTCTCATCCAGGCAGGGCCCTTGGAGATGCAACGTATAAGTGGCCTTTGCTTGGAATTAGGTTAAAGAGATGAAAAGAAGACATGAAAAACTGCCGCTAAACAGGTGAGAAGCCACTCAGCACTGTAACCCATCAATAAAGCGCAGACTGTGCACCTATCAGAACGGCTAGAACAGTAAAGATAAACAGCAGCCCAGAACCCTCGTCCATGGTTGGTGGGAACATGCACCATGTGGCTGCTGTGGAAAACAGTCTGGCAGTTTCTTAAAGGTTAAACACAGAACTACCACATGACCCAGCAATTCCACTCCTAGGAATCAGCCAAGAGAAATGAAAGTGCACTAGGAACCTATACCTAAATGAGCACAGCAGAATTGCTCTTAGTATCTGAAAACTGGCAACAACCCAAATGTCCCTCAGTTGGTAGACCGAGAAACAAGAGAATACCATCCAGTAATAAAAGGAAACAAACTCCCAATGGACACAACATGGACGAACTTTGAAGCCGCTAAGTGAGAGGCACCAACATATGACCTCATGTGTTGTTTGAGTCCATTTATATGTGTTTCCAGAGAAGGCAAAACTAAAGAGACAGAAAGCAGATCAGCGTGTGCCAGATCAGCAGATCAGGCCCACACAGGACATTCACTGAAGACTCAGGGGCTTTGAGCAGTATCACAGGAACACAGAGAAAATTCCTCAACAGGCAGGGAGAGATTCCTGTCTGTCAGCCATGCTTAATGCAAGAGTGAAATAACGTGGGTGGAAGGGAAACAGAAGACATCAGAAGCCAGCAGCATAGGCAATGCAGCGGCAAAGCGGCCCTGCTTGTTGTCACTACAAGCTCTCTGCTGACACCTGATCATCAGAACCAGGAAGGGTTTCTGGCAGAGGGAACAGCAGGGGCAAGGCAGGAGCCGGATTTGGGACACCGCGGTGGTAGCGGGCACATGGGGGTTGGCTCTTTTGCTCCCAGGTCTCTCAGCCCAGATCTCCACACAGGGGTCAACCAGGGTTAACTCAAGCACTATGTACACCATCCACACACGGCAAGGCCTTAGTGCTCCAGGGGCTTGGGGGACAGGGGCCACGATGACAGTGATGATGCCAGGCTGGTTTAGGGCAAGGCGGGGAGAGGAACTAGGAAGGGTGCCCCTCCCCAGAGGGAACTCCACCAGGGCAGCCGGAGCACCCACATGTGCTGCTGGTCTGCCCTCCCTCAACCACATGCTTGCTCCCTGTGGGCCATCCAGTGAAGCATTGAGCTGGCTTGGGAGCTGTCAAGCAAGTTAGTCTGTAAGACTCTATTGTTTCAACATCACTCATACCCTAAAGGCCCTGAGAATCAGATATTTCACAAAGGAGATGTCAGCTGAGAGGCCTAAAAGCCCACACTTTCTCCGTGATGCTGGGAGGGCTGGCCTCAAGTGCATGTCCCCACACAGCCTGGCTGTTTTTGTAGAGCCACGTGGGCCTGCCTGGTGTCTCACTCCTTCAGAAGGACCAAGCCCTTGTCAACAACAGAGCATTTCACTCCTACTTTCATACACACATGTGGGTGACCTCCCACAGGCTACCTGCCTATAGCCATTAACAATAACAGGCACAACTTTAAAGGGCTGAGAGTAGAACACCACCAACCTAGAACTCTATATCCAGTGAAAAAAATAAAATAGAATAGAGACTTGTCCAGACAAAGGCTGAGAGAATCTGTTTGCAGATCTCCACTGCAAGGAAGGTTCTGTAAGTTCTTCAGGAGGAGGGAGGGTGACACCTAATGGACGCACGGGTCGTACAGACGATGAAGAGTGCTGGGTATGGTGAACCCATCTGTGAATGTGAAAGAATAAGTTACATTTCTATAAAAGATCACTGACAGTCTTGAGGCGCAGATAATAACAAAATGCAGGATTTGGACGCACAACACTAAATGTGAGGAGGTGTGGTGCAAACGGAAGGCAGTGATGGTGTCAGGGTACAGGGGTTACCTCGAGCTCACGGGTCCCCAGAAGGTGAGTGTGGCACCAACAGTGTCTTCTGAACGAGCGGCCAGAGCCCAAATCAGAGGTTCCTTTATGGCAGGACCAGCATCGCCTGAAGACCCCAGCAGTCGGATCATCCTGGCAGTTCAGGGGCTCCCCGTGGGAATGTAACCATCATGACCTGACTGGCTGCTCCCTGCAGGGGCCGACAGCTCATGAGGTTAGGGAGGCCTTGCTGACTCATCTACACAGCAGGACAGAAGTGGCGTCCCAGGACCAGTAGGGTCTGATGGACTGACCTGGGCACTGCCTGTTTCCCATTTCTTTGATGCCTCAGCAGCTTCGGGATTGGCCGCAGACCAAAATTAGCAAGTCACCAGGTAATGTAACTTGCCTGGGTATCCCCGAGCATGTGCTTCTGCACTTGTCACACTTGGTACCTGAGTGGCTGCACTTCAGGCAACATCAGAGCAATGCCCCAGGCCTCCTCAGATCCTTTGGGTGGTTATGTCGTTCCTACCACAGGTGCAGAGGTCACACACTCTCAGCATCTGAGCCATCCAGTGCAGTGTCTCCGGAGTAGCAGGCATGGAGGGACCCTCAGGAAGCCCAACCCCCATGCTGGCCCTGTCAGGCCCCTGCGTGGTAACGCACCATCTCCCGCTAGCCTTGAATGGGGATGAAGCTGGGAGCTGCTCAGGACAAGCATCGCTGCTGGTGCTGCGCTTCAGCCAAGCTAGGAAGTTAAGTAGGGAGGCCTGGTGGAGCAGGCAATGAGGGAGGCTTGAGCGCGATAGGGCAGGGGCATTTGCGCCCTGCAATCATTCGGCCACCAGGCAGCTCCCTCTCTGGGGGAGCGTCACCTGGATGAAGAAGCAGTGTAGAGCCCTGGTTGGTGTGGCTCAGTGGATAGAGTACTGGCCTGTGAACCAAAAGGTTGCTGGCTTGATTCCCTGTCAGCGCATATGCCTGGGTTGCAGGCCCAGTAGTGTGAGAGGCAACAGATTGATGTTTCTTTCACACATGGATGTTTCTCCCTCTCCCTTTCTCTCTCCCTTCCCTTCTCTTTGAAAATAAATAAATAGCCCGAGCTGGGGTGGCTCAGTGGATTGAGCCTGACAACCAAAGGGTCGCCGGTTCGATTCCCGGTATAGTGCACATGCCTGGATTGCAGGCCAGGTGCCCAGCAGGGGGTGTGCTAAATGCAACCACACACTGATGTTTCTCTCCCTCTCTTTCTCCCTCCCTTACCCTCTCTAAAAATAAATAAATAAAATCTTTTTTAAAAAAAGAAAATAAATAAAATCCTTAAAAAAAAAAGCAGTGTAGAAAAAGACGGTGATGCACGTGGAAGAAAATGGGGAGTGTGCTGTGAGGCGACAGTCAGGGTAATGGGCAGCTCATGGGTGGAGGACAAATGCTTGAGGAGGAACTTGAGATGGCCAGAAACCCCTTATCTCTGGCCATGGAGAAGAGGCCTGGAGCATGAGGCAACAGGAAGTGGCTTACGAAATCTCCCTCCAGGCCCTGACTCAGTTGGTGGGGCATCATCCAGCAAAGCAAAAGGTCACCGGTTTGATTTCCAGTCAGGGCACAT